GGAGACACCTTCGGCAGTGTTGTGGTAGAGAGCCGTCTCCAAGCTCGTGTCAATCAAAACCGTTAATTTCCTCCTCGGGTGTTTGGTTTTAAGCTCCAGGCACATCATTGATGCCACGGTTTATTTTCTGTAGTCACACATTGGCAAATACGAGAAGGATTTCTTCTAAAAGTAAATATCACAGGGTTATGGATTGAGAATGCATGGGCCGCATCAGCCTGTGAACATGTCAAAGTCCACGTCCTTCCCTGCTGGCACCACAGACTACACCAGTGTGTGTGCGTTAAGATAATTCCCCAATTCATGGAACATGCTCAACCTACCAAATCAAACAAGCTAAGTCCGATTCTGTCAGTGACTTTGGACTTCGAGACAGGTTTGCTTTGTAGAGCTGAAATATAAAAAAGTGTATGTGTGCCGTGTTAAGTGTCGAGACGTCTGCTCCGATGTTGTGATTAGGGTGGCTGACTATTTGCTCTGGAGTGCAGCACATTCCTCTCAGCCTTAATTGATACCAATTATGCGGCTTTTGATTTGGTGTTTGATTGGGAAGAAGATGTGAGGCCTTGATTCGAAGGGCACAGAGTTTTTATTGTGTTTGGAACCTCGGGGTTGGATGCCTGAATGATAGCCTGCTACCTTGTGAGTAACATCAAGGAATGCCAGCGGGTCATTTTGCCTGTGCTATTTTTAATGTTGGGTTTCAGATTTTTGTTTTTTTGCGTCCTGCCATCGCAAAAGGAAGCTGGAAAGCCACTCAGTGTATAAGTATATTCCCCCTGTGCCAAAGGGTTGTCCATCTTACTGGGTGTTTTTTTTTTCTTTAAATAACTACAGGATTTGTCCCTCCAGGGGACACCTGGCTTGTCCCCCACCTCCACGGTGTAAATGTTCTCTAGCTTAAACTGCCAGATGTTATAAAAGGCTCCATTGAAGTAAACCTTTAGCTCATAAAAAAGGGGGTTGTAGGCGGGTGGCTGAAAAGTCTATCCTGATAGCTTCAGTGACCACACTATGTCATCTGATTTAACATGGAGGCTCACATATGTAACTCTATGGGAAAAATAAAGTGATTTGGAGCCAAAGGTGAAGTATGGCAGTGCCAAATGTGTCTCTGCTTTGCTCAGATGTGTAATTGAAGTCACCAGTTCTGCGCAAGCAGGCTGGAAATAAAAGGTTAATTCTAAAGATGTCACAGTATGACTGAGAGTTTCTGACATTTCCAACACAGAGTGAGGGAAAACGACAGAGAGGGAAAAAACCCATCCAAAGCTTAAAAGAAAGAGGAAGCAGTGGCATGAGTGAGACGGAAACTTGAGATATTAGGAAAAGAAATGGAAAAGAAGAAAATTGGTTTACAGTTGTCTGTCTGCCATTATTCCTTCTCTCTGACAGTCTGACCCACACACACACACACACACACACACACACACACACACACACACACACACACACACACACACACACACAAACATGCAAAGCTGTGAAGCTGCTGCTGGCCCAGCTTCTTGTTTGTACTAACACTGTCATCTGAAGCCCATTTATTGATTGGCTAATGTGCCAGACCTGAGGGCTCATGGTGCTTGGATCAACCCCCCCCCCGCCCTTCCGATTACTTCCTCCAACTTTCATGCAGTGCACGCTCTAAAACGGACACACACGCACACACATTCACCCACGCTCTCCCTGCCCCCTCTCCCTCCCTCCGCTTCCCCAAGATACTCTTGAGAAAGAACGGGAGCAAGTCAGACAGGAGACGGCAGGCAGGGAGGCAGACACAGCACGCAGAGTGACCCACGGAGGAGGCCGTCACGCATTGGACCCAGACACACACGCAGAAGTACTCACGAGCAGACCTGGAGGGACTGGGTCTCACACACGCGCGCGCGCACACACACACACTTTGAAAAAGGCATGGAACAAGACTTTTCACCCTGCATGCTGTTGATGACAGCTCTTCTACTTCTGGTACTGTGATTTTTACCCTGTTATCTCAATTGCATTTTAAAGTTTTTATTTTGTCTTTGGTTATTAATGTCCTCTAAAAGCATCTATTTGAGTGTTTATGCTTGCATGTGTGTGTATTTTGAAGTAAGCAGTGCACTCTCCACATCCTGGAGTCTTCTCAACAGTAGCTTTGCCAGGTCAGCTACAGCAGTCCTGCAGCATTGTCTTATTATATTATTATGTTTTTTAACCTAAGCCATGAAAAAAGGACTTGTGCATGCGGAGGTCAGCGAGCTGCAGGCTCACTGTTACATTACAGTGCCTTCCTCACAGCGTGACCGTGAGTACAGTACTGTGCTGCGCAGTGCTGGCCACATGACAAGGGATTTAGCAGATGTGCAAATATCATGTGTCTTTGCCAACTGCAAAGGCCGTCGTATTGACACAGTCTGCAAAAGAAGGCACCAGAGTCGGGTTTCTTTTTCCCCTTTTTCAGGAGTTTTCCATCTTCGGGGAAAGTGTTTTTAGTCTCAGCTGCTGACAGGTGACTTAAATAGAATCCGTCCATCAGAATAACTCATAACGTGGAGTTAAGTGATCTTTAATCATATGCTCATTTCCGCTTTTTTACCTTGTGGAAAAACAAAGGCCTTGCGGTTGTCACCCTCGTGTATTTGCTCTGGTTTTTTTTCACAGCATGAGCGCCAGTGAGCAAATAATAGTTTGTGTTTGCAAAGGTGCTTTTGCAAAGAGTTTTAGGAAGCATTATGAGTCAGTTATGGGTGCATGAACGCTCAAATGAAATAAGAAGCGCGATAGATCATAGCAGAAGCGGTGGGACGTGCAGTGATGGAGGGTTAAGGAAGAGTAGATATCTGAGCCGTTTGATTATTGGCTCCAAATCCCAGCAGGACAGCCGTCCAGCTAGCGGAGCCTTGTCTTCCTCCGCTTTCATTGAGAACAATAGCAGCGCAGCGAGCCAAACAACCTCTTCATCTCCATCCCTTCATCCTTCATCTACTTCCACTCCTCTTTCTTCGCAAGCCTCTCTGCGCCTCGAGCACTCTTGGCTTTGCAACACACAGCCTCAGTCGTAATTGAGTGCAAAATTCACTGATTGCTTTTCAAAGGAGAATTAAGGTGGTGCACTAACCGGCTGCCCAGAGCGCAGCCTGTGTTTATTTACCGGGATCCAAACATTGAAATAGTTGGCCCGTGCAGAAAGTAGCGCCGCTGCCGATATGTTTGGCTGTATGCTCCGCTGGCTGTGTTTAGGTTTTGCCATTCCTCTCTGCTGTTCCTCAGGCGTCATCAGCACTGACAGCCATTTATATCAGTCCCCACGCACTTTTAATAACGTGAACCCGCCATCCCCTCTCAGGACTGTACAGCATGGGTGTTTTTCCTCCCATGACCCAAGGAAAATAATCGGAGCCCTATTATTGCATTGTTACTGTTTTTCTTTGCACGATCCATTCATCTCTGTATTTGAAGTGCACTGCCATGCTGTTCGAGGGAGGAAAAAGGGGGTAAAGAGGTCAGCATGAACTGGCTTTCCCCTAAAAAAACCTTTCTATCTTAAAGCATTCTACTTCAAACGCAAGCCTGGATCTTCACTGTAAACTGCCCAGTAGGTGCAAATTCATTTTCTGAACACACCCCACCCCTAATGTTCAGCGGCTTCTGGGTAAATGAACTTGTTTAGGGCTCACATTTCATGCCTAATCTGCAAGAGCTGGAAATTTTAAATCACTGTCAAAAACTCTGTTGGATGTGCAGACACAAACTGCCGCCTCACGGTGTAAAAGTCCCTATTGTGCGACGCTGTCCAGAGCACACAATAGCAGCATTTCTGCAATGTTAGGAAAAGAAGTCTTTCATGGTCCAGCAGCATTATGAAGACTGAGTGGTTTAAAAAAATGATAATTTTTCTCTTGTATTCATCTGCTCCCATTGAACACTCCCAAACCCCCTTGGAAGATTGGCAGGTTACTTTATTGACTGTGTTTGCGCTTCAGCCACATTCCTGTTGCCACAGGAGGTGGACGATTTGTCCCAATGTTGGTTCCAAGTTCCAAGTCTTTTTTTTTTTTTACTTTTCCAAGTTGTCATCCATTAAACAGGTACAGGATCAGTTTTTTCCTTTACCTCAGTCTCACTGGCAGGTTTTAAATAGAATACCTTCACTGAGTCCTTGTTCTAGATAGCAAAAACAATCTGTTTCCCTTTTCACCTAATCTGAGCCCGGTATTCAGAAAATGCAGCTCTCTATTGCTTCATTCAGTCAGCTCTGGAAAGGGCATTGAGAAAAGTGAAGCAGAGGAAAACTATCTTGACTTAAACACAACAATAGATATTGCCATATTGCCTGACAGCAGCGGCATTATAACTAAACCTTTCCCTACGAGCACGGCGAGTTAGTCCACTCGGAAAATACCAAAGACTTTATGAGGTAAACAGGAGCTGAGATAGCGAGGATCTTAATTTTTTTTGGCTGTCACCCTACATCCGAGACGCATGCTGTCCTTGTAGTTGTAAAATTTAGCTTCTCATAATATTGATTTTGGGTGCCGCAGTAATATTCCCGTCTCCTCTGCCAAATACAGCACAATGCAATTAACAGAGAGAGGCACACGAGTGTGGCCCGAGCCTTAAGCAAGGACTAATATTTCAAACTTTAATGCATGACTCAGACATTTTAAATACGCAAAAGGGCCAGAAGTCAAGAACTCGTGATTACTTCCTCTTAGTGCCTCTCTTTTCCTGTCATGTGCACTTTTATTGTAGTTTTTAGGTTTTTTTAAGCTCCTCAATTTAAGGAATGGCTGCAGGAAGCCACAACTCACTTGGCTAAAGAGCTGCTTTCTGTAATGATGGGAGATCTTTGCTAAGTCATAAGGTCAAAGAGTCCAATATAAAGATGACAGTGAGCTTCAGTGATCAGTTTATTTTATCTCAGCTTCTGTAGAGCTGATGAAGGCTGATAACTGCAGACGCCTGTTATCAGAGTGTCCAAAACACTGCATATTAACGTCTCTTCTTCTGGTGTGTAGAGCTCGCGTACGGCCCGATCAGAAGAGGACAGAGACACGCTTTGGGACGCCTGGGGTTCCTGGAGTGAATGCTCTCGTACATGTGGCGGAGGAGCCTCCTACTCCCTCAGACGATGCCTCAGTTCCAAGTAAGACCCAAAAGCTTCACAGAGGTAACCTGTGAGAGAACATGCAACAGTGTCGGGAGAGCTGGTCTGGTTCTCTTCATAGAGTAATATTAACATTTGCAAGGCTAACGTCTCCTGCAACATCAGACTTTTCAGAAGGAGAAGCCGCACACGTAAAAATATTGATGATGGAGAAATAAAGATTAGAGATTGCTCACATTCTTGCAGACATTACTAGAAGTTAACATACTAAACTGCTTTTCCTTATTTCTGTCATTGAGGTAAATATTATAGTTGTGGGTGGGTGTTAAATAATGGGGTCAGTGTATTTACTACTTCATATTAGCCAAAAGTTCAACTTAAGACTCCTCTAGAAGCTCAATTTCAGGTGTTTTTTCCAAATAATGGGTCTTGCTGACATCAGAGAGAGCGGATATCCTAATATGGTCATCTAATTTGTAAGAGGCAGCCAAGCAGCCAAAAACCTCTTAAAGGGAGAGAAGCTAAAAGACAAATGAGGATTATTTTATTTTTACAATCCTTTGGGCAGCATTTACACTGATATCAGGTCTAAAAATCTCAGATGCAGAAAAAATTCCAGAAAAAACAATCATTATGAGAAGCAGGGGCATAAAGAGCCTTTTTAAAACAAAAATCAGTGGCCTGATGTAACTGTTGAGTTTATAGCGCAGTCATTAAATGATGACTACATCACAGCAGGAGAGCACTTGCTGTAAATTGAAAGTTAGAACCTCAGTGACCCTCAGAAAAATGGAAACATCCCACCGGCAATTTGTTAGCGTGTGTTCAAACGTGATCTGAGCTAATCTCCTCTTCTAAAGTAGAAAGTCCTGACTGAAGTTGGACGGATTTCCATCAAAATGCAACATCATTGCTTTTAGGTTTAGGCAGGGGTTTTAATAGTGTGAGTAAATCCCACAAATCAAATCCTCCATTCCCTTGGGTTGTAAGTGGAGTGCTCAAAATACACATGACTGTTAAAGATCCCTGAGTGGATCCACTATGGACCCGTCTAGACAGCCATGTGAGCCAAAATCTTGAATTCATCATTGACATTTGGAATCTGAATTTCAGTAATGACCCCAACATGTTTCCTCACAGATCAGAGCAGAACAATCAGTGACTCTTGCGAAACTACATGCCGCTTTTAATAAGTGTTTTATGTGACAGAATTTGGGCTGTGCAAACACGGAGTCCCGCATTGGATGGATTCCCACTGCTCATCATCTCATGCTTATATCAGGAACCTCTTAATCCTTGTGCCAGAGTCACCTGGTCGGTAAGGTTTCAAGCTAACCCACAGTGCTCCAAGATTAAAGCTCAGGGACCGAGTGCATTGGGTAAAGTGGTCAATTATAAACAAATTTAAGGAACAAGTGGGAAAAATGGACATAAGAAGGGAGACAGTACATTTTCCTTAGAAATGTTGTCACATTTATAGGCTGGGAAATAGCTGCAGGGTGACTTCACTTGCATTCCTCTGTTTTACAGTTCCCAGAATATACTGCTGCTCAACTCAAGGTAACCAGTGACGTTTGCTGCTGGCTGCAGAGGTAGCACCCCTAGTGACAGGACTAGTCACTCAAATCATGAAACAGTGCAATAGTCTAGGATCAAACTGCCAGAACAACTCACATCATTCTTGAGGTCACAACCGAGGTACTGTGAAAGGCTCTCATATGTCTGCAACCATGAATCCATCTGCACTGGCACTAGACAAAAAGACTGAGCAGCATACGAGTGCCAGAGGGCCCCCACCCCCCACCCCCCGTGTACTGCACTGTAAACATTGAGGTCAATGTCTCTTTGAGGAGTTCATTTCACGATCTCTGGAGCAACCACTTCTCTTTGCCTGCCCAGAATATTTTGGTCAGACAAACCTCAGGAGCAATTGACTTGTTAAGAGGTGTTTGGGGCTTGAGCTTCATACGGGACATAGGCAGCGTGTGTATGTGTTGATGTACATTCTCCGCCTCCTCTAAGTCCAGGCAGGTTTGTTTACCAACTCTGGCAGTTGCCATAATGTATGGAGCTCTTGAGCAAATGGTAGGAGGCTTCGTTCCACCTTGTCCCACCTCACCCTGCTCTTGCGTGGGAATGAGGGAGTCGTAGCCTGGCCTCGGGTAGCAGATCAAACGGCATCATTAAAAAGCATAGCACAAGGCCCCTTGTGTATGTGTATGTGTGTGTGTGTGTGTGTGTGTGACTCTTTGGAAAAGGGAGCTGGAAATAGGCCTGCAACACCCTCCAAACCAATACCATTCCAACTCTCTGACTTTTTAATGCACACACGCACATACAGGGCACTTATTGCTACTGCAAAACACACCAGAGTTAGTTAACCTCTCGAAAGGGCACGTGCAGAAGTACAGACTATCCGCAGATTACCTGGCCTTCATTACTTCTATCCACACAAGTTACTGCACTTGATCGCCGGCTTCTTTATTAACAGCAGCATAGCTGGTTGGATCCAAGTGTGAACATATGGATTAGATGTCATGGCAAGAAAAAGTGCTGCTCCAATATTAATGAAGCACTAGGCAGGAAAATATTAATCTGTATATGTTATTAAAAAGAAAAAAAGAAAGATCCAACCTCAACTTTGTTTAGAAGAAATTCACAAAGAATTTGACTGTGTCGTTTGTCACCATGACACCAATGGGAAGTAAATATCAACAACTGTAGGCAGGAGATGTTTCCTGTAGCAATGCGGTCACATATGTACTGAAATTATACAGTGGGTGACATGAAGTGACATTAGGCTGTGAAGGCATGCCGCAACTTTTTAAAGGCAAAAGTGGGTGAAAGTGAAATTTCTCCAGGGCAATGAAATGTTAAATTAAGGTTGGCCTAGCAACCAAGATTATGTCTCTTTTACAGCCTTGGGAACCACTCTGTGTGGTCCATGCTGTGTTATTAACACCTCCATCCTTTTTAGTAATATTCCTAACAGTAGTAGACCTACAGCTCTGCCCTACAAATGACTAAAAAGACAAAAGATGTCATGATTAATTTCACTGACAACTGCAATATTTTTGCCTAATCTCACGGTACTCTGGCCTCTGTTATGCTCTTTGTTCCATCTTTTTCAGCTTCACATTATCCCCCTGAGATAAAACAGTAAACTCTTAGCTTTCCTAAACTGATCAATAGCAGAGCTCATAGCTTGAGCATATTTTAGGCGTTAGCAAATCAGCTACATTTTTGTGTGCCCACATGCCTCAAGTGTATCAATATTGTGGCGTGGGTTTTGGAGCCCTGCGTGCAATTACTTTCAATCTTGCGAGAAGAGTTGATGACATATATATGGACATTATGGGCCGGATGAATTTTACTGTGTATCCAATACTAGCCCAATTTTTTTATGGTTACAATAGATTTCTCTTTTTTCTGTTTAATGCTATAGATGGTACTTTTAGTCTTTGTTGAGTCTCGTGCAGTTAACTAATGAGCGCACTCTCTGTAGTTGTCTTTTTGTGTTTGGGGTCACAGTTTGTGAGTTATGTTTTATGTGCTCCAAGACTTCTGATATTTCAACCGAGTTATTTTTCCCTAACCTATGATGACGCCATGATGAATCCCATGTCCTGGCCCTACGTCTGCTTAGCCTCCACTTTAGAGCTTCTAAAATCAAAAGGAAATGAAAAGGGAAATTCATTTTATTCCCTTTGCCTCTTTACGTCTCGTTTATATATTGCTTGTCCCAGTGTGAGTTTCCACGCTGATCCAGATCTTAGCTACCTGTCTCTCAACTCTTGGTCTTTGAAAGTCTCTTGTTAGGGGTTCAGGCCCCATGGCCTACTGTTTGATTTGGCAGAGGGGACCGTCTGGATTCGTCACAGGTTCTAATGTTCTTGCCATGCCACATGGTCCACATCCACTCCCTCCATTCTCTGGAATAACATTGTAAAAAACCTTAAGCCTTCGTTCACTGCTGAGTCCAAAGTCAGTGACGTCTCCAATCATGATTCCAGATTAGCTAAGGGCCAGTGACACTGGAATTCCTCTTAACTTCCCAAAAGAATACCATTTGATTAGTTTCCACTGGGGTCTTTGATAATTGCCCTATCATAGTCACCATCAATGGTTTATCATCACTCTGCATCAAAGCACAAAGAAATCCTCATTTTCAATAAGTGGTTAGCTCGATAATTTGGGCAGAGACAAAGCAGACTGTCATGCAGGGAGTCGTGATCCAAACTGCTCCAATCTGTTCAGCAGACACAGGCTGGAGGGCTTTACTCTGTCTGCGTTACTACTGCGTGCAGTTTTGCATTTTTTCAGACACACAGAGAAAATGGGACTCCTATTTTTAAATGTTGTGAAACTCGTGTTAAAGCTTTAGATTTTTGAGATTTTCTTTTACAAGTAGTAAGCTTGAAGTCAAATTGTCTATAAAGATTATTCATATCGCAGAGAATGGAGGAACATATGTCGAGTGTGGAAACTGAACTAGAGCCTGACTGCAGGGGAAATAATAGCTATTTGCTGTTATATCTATATCGGCATATATAGTAGCCAATAAATGAAAATGCAAAAGGTAAAGAAATAACACAGTTTTATGCGTTTTGCAGAATTTGTCCATCACAGTGCAATCTAATGCAGCAAGTGCTTGAAATCCACAAACAACAACCAGCTGGGCAGGTTGTAAGTACAGTTAGCAGCGCAGAAAGTTAAATTATTCATCAAATAATTGCATTGAAGTTCTTCAAAAGGCACCAATGCCACAAACAGTGGTCCAGTTCACTAACAGATAGCTAGTGACTACTTGGCCACTGTGCTGCTGTTCTTTCCTTTCAGTCAAAGCAGCCGTGCTCAGAACTTTGATAACTTTAAGTCTCAATGATAACAATTTTAAACAATGTAGCCCTGTACAATTGTTTATGAAGGTGAATATTAGCTATAGATGTCATTTAAAGCAGGCTGTTAATGTTTATTTCTTCTGTGTCGTTGGGCTTTATTCCACAGTCTTTTAAATGCTTTGTGAGCCACCCTCAAGTGGTCATTTCAGGAACTGCAGGTTTTATCAGCTTCATTTCTCATCTTCAGCGTGCCACTGGATAATTATGCACAGTTACTTTGTGTGAAATACGCTGTTAAAGCTTTGCAAACGCACCACAGACTTATGTTCGTGGGTTGCCACATCAGCGCTATAATTTTCAATATGAATAATGAGGGAAGAGTCATTGGATATAACAACTCCTTCAGATGATGATGACTGGTTCACGTTATGGTTTGTTTTATCATTCTCTCCCACGGCCTATTTACCCATGGTTTCTTTTTTTTTTCCTTCTGTAGGACCTGCGAAGGACAGAATATCAAATATCGCACATGCAGCAATGTGGTAAGTTGAACCCACTCATCTTTGTGTCGTGGATGTCGACACAGCTTTCAAATGTTTTTATTGAAGAAGTAAAACTGATATGGCAAATTGTGTCTAAAAGATTTATGGGTACGGGGTGTAATTCGGTGATTTGGGATCTTGCTGTTTGAGAGAAAGTAAGAAGTTGCATCAAACTTCTTCTGTTTCCATTTATTCTGCTAATTTCATGCAGCAGTCTTCTTCCCACACACACATTTAGAGATGGAAGACTTCATTCGCCCTGCCTTTTTCAAGAATGTAAAATATTTTAAAATATGTTTTAATGTCCCTCAGGATTGCCCTTCAGATGCCGGTGATTTCCGTGCCCAGCAGTGTTCAGCTCACGCAGATGAGCAATACCAGGACCAGTACCACGAGTGGCTGCCGGTATACAACGACCCAGACAACCCGTGTGCTCTCAAATGCAAAGCCAAGGGCTCAGGCCTTGTGGTGGAGCTGGCGCCCAAGGTGCTGGATGGGACACGCTGTTACACAGAGTCTTTGGACATGTGCATCAGTGGTATCTGCCAGGTCAGTAACCATGTCATGAACCTCAATTGCTTTGAAGTCATCAAGAATTTTGGTTTATTTCTTTTAATTTTTGAAGCCAAGATGTACATCTTGTGGGACTTGCATATAAATACTTCTTTTTTTCAGTAAACTAAGCAAATCCTTATATTTAAGATCAGCTCACCTTAAAAATAACTGAGAAGTTGATCTTCCAAAGTAAATATATCCCAGTGTGTTGTAAAAAGTTTAGATTAAGCTAGTGAGGCAAGTGAAGTCTGTGTGATGCTCTGTGCAGCTCTTTGATTGGCAACCTTGGGTCCTGGTATTCATGTGGCATTACTTTGACATGTACAATCTGCTTAAACATTTTCACAGACCACTACACCCCTGCAACAATACTCTCAAATAGGTTTAGGATCAAGGTGTGAACTTCCCCAGATCTTAATTCGAGTGAACATTTGTGGGATGTCCTGGAAAAACAAGTCCAACAAGTCCGCCGAGGCCCCCGTCTTTAAAAGATGTGCTGTCAGTGTGTCTGATACCGCAGTAGCCTCAGAGACCTTGATGGGCTAAAGCTGTTTGTGGAATAAGGGGAGCCTACACAGTATTAGACCAGTGGTTCTAATGTTGTCGCAGTACAGTACTCCTGTCAACACTGGTACGCAATTTTTTTCAATATTCAAATTTCAATATCGTGCATTTGGGAGCAAAAGCTAAGACGTAAATCTCAAGAGGACCACAGTGGACTACCTTACAGCACTAGCATCACGCCATCTGCTTTACAAATGAATATCCAATGAGTATTCCTTTAGATTTAGCGTTTGACTGACAGCCCAGGAAATATTTTGCAATGCATTTTCTGGGGTTGAATGGAATTATGTCCCAGGGCATCGTGTCTGCAGAGACTCAGAAGTGTCTCCCTTACAATGCTTAGAATGATATTGCGGTTTTTGGTTTTGTCTTGCTGACAGAAACTGCAAAACGAAATATCCACCATTCAACTATGGATGGCGTCTTAGTAATTCAATGAATGAATATTGAGGAGACCAGAGGGTTGTTTGAATCGCTTCATGGTAACACTTAAATGGTACTGAAGCTCCAACAGAACCAGCTCGAGTGCTTCATGATATCATATCCTTTCTCTTTACTTTTGTGTTGTTGCAGAAAATCTTCCTTGCTATCTTGTCCTAAGAAAAAAACTAAGAAGGTAGAAGGTCTTTCAGGCTCTAAAAGTGAGGTGACTGTGCGTGTCATTTGTGATGTCTCAAAGTTTTTCGTGCTTCCTGTGTTTTCCAGATTGTAGGTTGTGATCATGAGCTTGGAAGCACTGCGACCGAGGACAACTGTGGAGTCTGCAATGGAGATGGCTCGTCCTGCAGGCTTGTGCGGGGACACTACAAATCCCAGCATTCTTCAGGAAAAAGTAAAGAATTGCTACTCTTTTTTACAATTTTTATTAAATAAAGAAGTAATTGCTGAGCTAAAGAGGTCCTCGAGCAGATTTACTTGTTCGCCACACAGACTATAAACAAGAGTTATAACTAAGCCCAATCAGCAGGGCAGTGTTCCTTTGTCAAATATTTGCATCATTGGCTTTGAGAGGTCAAACGACTATAAATAGAAGAATGCTGCAAAAGCACAGAGCTTGGGATGCCTGCCTCCATGCCTTTAAAATAGCTGCTTTGAAGATGGGAACCATGTCTGTGACCGCTCGCAGTCAGACGCCGTCTTCAGAGTAACTTCTGTTACTGCAACTTCTGGATTTGTTGCAGACCAGCCTAGATTGATTGCAGTATCTTGACAATCTGTCTACGTATATAAACTAGACAGCAGATATTTTCTAAACTTTCTGTCTGAGAGTGACTGCAATCAATTCCAGTCAGACTGCAACTGTTTGGAGACAAGTTGCATCTCACCATGGGACCTCCTCAATCACCTCGAGGCTGAAAGTGTTGCACGTCTGAGCGACTAGCTGGTTGCTGCAACTAATTGCACTATTTTGAAATGAATTGCAACCACCAACTTTTTCTAGTCACAAGAAGGTTGCCATCCTGTTTCTACTCTAGCGTGTCTAAGTCATAAGTCACTCGTTTTTAGCATTTGTGTCATATATTGATGTAGTGATTGGTACTGTTTATTTGTTTTTGTTCAAGCTGAGGACACAGTGGTCACCATCCCTTACAAGAGTCGTCACGTGCGTCTGATCCTGAAAGGCCCGGATCACTTGTGTAAGTCCTGGTAGGTCCAGGGTGCCCTTCCATCCAAAACAGCTGAGCATGATCTCTGTGTTTGGCAGTGCTCTTTCATTTGTCAAATACTACACACTGAACATGAGTTCACCGCACCGCTCTGACTTTTCTGCACGGCGTGTTATGTTTTCAGCATGCTCCGATGCAAAAACAGTGAAACAGACACGGTGGTGACATTTTCATAACAGAAAACAGAAGATCGTACTTGGCAGGCCTTGAAATGAATGTTTCACACTAATAGCAATCTATGATCGATCTTTTACTCTGATTTCCAAAAGATATTACATTTTGGCCTCTCTAATAAAGACTCGTTTTAAAAGTAGCCCAGAGCAGACTAACCAGAAGAGATACGTGTTTCTTCCCTTTGCTCTGGCTCTGACAAGACATAAGGCTTCCAGGGAAATTCACTGATGTCAAAGTCCTGGCATCAAATCCTCACCGGATCAAATGGATAACAAATGTTTCACCTCTGTGCCTGTCCTTTGCTCAGTGGCTAGTTTCCAGATCATCTTCTGAATGGACAGCTTTTTCATTAGATATTTCCCCCCCCCCCCATCCATTTTGCCCTCCGGCATCTTGATTGTAACCATGTGTTGCCTGGTGGTCACCACTTGTTCCCATGTATCTCTGTATTTTTTATTTTCTTTAAGCATCAACACTGAAGTTACACAAGATCCTGTATAGACAGGGATAAAGTGAGGTCAGTGAGGGGAAAGCATGCTGGCTACGTTAGCCTCATCACAGTGACAGAGTGACCACAGCACCCAGTCTGAGCTCTTTGTGTGTCGCTGGGTCTAACTGAAGGGTCTGTGATCAACATTTTAATCACAGCTCCAGAACTTAAGAACTTTACTCATAAAATATTAAAAAAAATTTAAAAATTAAAAGAAAGATTTTGTGGCAGGCAGTGGCCACACCTGTTTGTCTTCTCTTTGCACATATTGAGACTTTAATTGTTTGTTTTTTTACCTTCAGACATGGAGAGTAAGACTCTACAGGGGGTAAGAGATGAACTGGTCTTGGATAGACCCGGGCAGTACTACATAGAGAACACCACCGTGGACTACCAGAAACTTTCAGATAAAGAAGTCCTGAGAATCACTGGCCCACTCGGAGCTGACTTCACAGTCAAAGTAAGCGCTGACATTAATGCACATCTCTTTTTCTTTCAGGCTACAGCAGCCAGTATTTGTCATCATCTTGTTAAAAATTCGAGAAATTTCCGAATTGTCCATCTGTTCTACTTCAGGCTTGACGGGTGTCTTGCCGGGAACCTGAGGAAGGACAGATCTCATATTTTTTCTAAATATTGTTTTGTATTACCAAGGTGAAACATGGTGTGACATATTTGGCTGTCTTTGTGAGAACATTCATTAACATCAATGCATTCCTTACTGTTAAATTTAACCAGCATATTTATACAAGCCCCAGCCTAAACTTTAGCTTCAAAACCCAAGTTTTGACCCTCAAACAGATCTTTGAATCTGCATGAAAAAACGAGGACCCGACACAAATTACTACTAATACAAAATGTCATCACACTCCCAGCCACACGCTTGCTGTAGTTGATTTATATTCGAAGAAGTCGTCAGAAGAAAGCTGCAAACCACAATTGCCCTGTTCTGCAATCAGTAAATCCATCCTTGTAGATGTCCTCTTTGAAAACTTGCCATGATTTTCTGCAGATATGTTTTCTAGAGCAGGCTCTGCATTGGTTTCTTTGATGCAAAATTGTTCCAGTCAGCTCACTGCACTACTTGTTAAATGTTAATGTAAATTTTCTCAGGCACCAAAACCGAATGGTAATTCATCAAGTGGACAAAAGCACCACTGAAAGCAAAAAGAAAAGAAAAGAAAAGAAAAAAAATTCTTGCAGGTTCAAAATAATTTTAGAAATTCCGGGGAGATAAACGGGTCACCTCTCTGACTTTCTTCACAGGAAGTTAAAACCAGCAGCGCCTCAGCAGACCTGCGTGCTTGCAAATCAATCACCCTCATTCCCTTTTTGGTGTCTTTGGTGCAGTTTGAGTCAAAACTGTTGTTTTTGTCATGCAATCTCCTGAAAGTGGTGCGGCCAGTTTTTATTTTTTTCGCATGAACTCCTGGTGAACGTCTCACAGCAGCAAAGTTTAAAGCAGCTTTGATTTCATGTGTTTTAAAGATATTTGAGTGTGAGTCTTTTAAATGTGAAATTCAAACAATTCTTTTTGTGCGATTGTTCACTTTGAGAATGTGTTTGAGCTGTGTGCCATTCATTCACACAGTAGCACAAACATTCAGAGCCTCCGAGCTCCTCACCGCTCCTCTGTGGTGTAAGTGCCGCTTACTGAAACTTGTACTTGATTCACGGTAAAGTCTCAAACTTTGAATAACTCCAAAAAATCTGATTAGAAATGTGTTATTACATAACAGCGCATAAGCCTAGTTAATACAACGAGCAGTGCCGTGCCACAGTGGCTGTGACGTGTTTTTCTGCTTCAGGCCCACATGTGAGCACAAATTCCCAGACTAGGGCAAGTGAGTGGGCGTTAAAGGTTATACAGCCACGAGCCCGCGAAAACTTCCTCCCTCATAAACACAAGTCGGGAAGGGACAATAACGAGGAACTGTCGAGAACGAAATCTGAGAAGCTTTAAATGGATAATTTTCGAATCTGTCACGAGGCGGACAGCCAGCTCATATCACTCTGCTGGAAAAAGGTTTGGACAAATGGAAAATCACATTAAAAAGTTGCCAGACAGTCTTTCCACAGTAAATACATGAATGCGAATGAGCGGTCGTCAAGTCTGATTTATACGTGCTGCTGCTAAAATGTGTCTTTGGGCTTTTTTTCAAAGCAAATGAAATAAAAGGCTAAGAAAACACGGACAGACATGGACGTACTTATTCTATTATTGTGTTCTATTACTCTGTTAAAATAAGGACTGTTCTAATTCTTAATCTGTTAAAACAGCCTTTATTCTTTATTTTATTAAAGCAGAGCTCTAAGAAAATGTTTCCTCTGATCCAGCAGTTTATGAATTATTTTGTCTCTTAAGAGGATTTCATTATAATATTTTAGCTAGTAGCTGTGCAGAAATGTACACTTTAGGTTTCCAAAGGCCAAATTCTTTGAGCATGTTGCGTTTATAGAGCCTTCTCCACATGGAGCCTTGTGTCTTGCAGATAAACATGGGCAATGTCATTGTACAACATGATTACAAAACGAAACATAGGTCAAGTTTCTAAATTATCTTGAGAATAATTCAAGAAAAAAGTCACTTAGGATGTTCATACATGCTAGGAGCCTGAGTAGGGTGAGACACTGGTTAGTCCCATTGTTTTTTTTTTAGTGCTTCCCTTGTTTGGTAATTCCAACACAGTACATAAAGCAAAATTTCTACAGAACGACATCAGTTTCAATGAGAAACGGCAGTTTGTTGTTTCAATAATTAAAGTGAATTAAAGTGAAGTATTGCAGGGTGAATATTATTTTCTTGAGACCAAAGCTTCCAAAGGGAAGCTGTAAACATCTCTATTTCTCTTTTAAAGCTGGACTTTTCACCACACAGAGGGCCATCTGTGTAATTTAGCTCACTACTGGAACCAGCCTCAGTCAGTGATTACAGGAACTGCAGTTTGTTTGGCACTTCCACATTCATTTTTAATCAATAAGGTCTTTTTTTAAATCAGGAAAGTGTTAAGAAAGAAAGCTGGTTTGGTTCCAGTTTATGAATCACTAAAAACTAAGGCTAAATAAATTAATTAATTAATTACAATTCTGTGGACGCAAAGTCCGTTTTAACAAATTGTTTGATTCTTTATAGATTAGCAGCCCTATTAGGTTGTCATGGCTACAACAAAGTTCAAGTAACACCCCAAGAAGCCCAGGATGAGTCTCTCTTTGCCTTTAAAAAAATCTGTTTTTTAATCTGTCTAACGAGAAGGAAAGTGTGAGCCGTGCAGTGTAAATACTGCAGTCACCCGCTACACTGATAGTGATGACAAGAAAAGCTGATTATATCTGAACAATGTTTGTGTAGGTGCAGTTTACGGGTGGTACAGACAGCGTGGTCCAGTACATCTACTACCAGCCCATCATCCACCGCTGGAGAGAGACTGACTTTTTCCCGTGCTCCGTCACATGCGGTGGAGGTAAGCAGCATTTTGAAAATCACAATAGCAGCCTGCAGCATTTTCACTCGACTGATAGCAGGTTTGGTTTAAAAACAGGATCCGTTTAATTCACAGATATTTATTAAAAGCCTAATATTGAATCGTTGTCCTACTAGATCTCTCTTGATGGTCTCTGATATTTGCTGGCCTGCAGGTTACCAGCTAACCTCAGCAGAGTGCTATGATCTACGGAGCGGACGGGTGGTTGTCGACCAGTATTGCCATTACTACCCGGAGAATGTCAAACCCAAACCCAAACTGCAGGAGTGCAACATGGAGCTGTGCCTGGACAGGTTGGAAAGCAGAACTTAAAGAGGAATAAACTGGACTTTTTGTGAAAGCAAATCCTAATTTACTGTTTCTGACTTTTTAGTGACGGCTACAAGGAAATTATGCCATATGACCAATACCACCCCCTGCCTCGGTACATGCCCGACTACCTAGTAACACACAGAGGCACACAATACAAATCCTGACATCTGCTAATAACCGTCAGTCACTTTATGATGTCACCTTTCATGATGTCAGATGGGAGAGCAGCCCCTGGACGGCCTGTTCCACCTCTTGCGGCGGGGGCATCCAGAGTCGCTTGGTATCGTGTGTGGAGGAGGACATGCAGGGGACCATCACTCCCACAGAGGAGTGGAAGTGTCTTTACTCTCCCAAAACAGCTATCCTGCAGCCCTGCAACACATTTGACTGTCCCACCTGGCTGGCACAGGAGTGGTCACCAGTATGTGAACATTTCTACCGTTGAAATTCTTCTGTCATGTAACGTCTTGTATGTGGTGTCTTTATGAGGCTTGTAAACATATGATGTGTTCCCAATGGGCAACATACAAAAACCCAGTGACACCGCAGCCAGTGTGATCCCTCTGAATAAATTTCCTTTCTGAACCATTGCACATTGAAATGATCAAGGCACTGCATCTGGATCAACCTAACCCTCCTGGTCAGCTTAGCTATTTTGCTTTAATTCTTAGAGCTGCTGTTACATTAACCAATCCTACCATAAATGTTCTATATATCTTCCTCCTGGGAAATTTTCGACCTCACCAGTTGAATGGGCTCATATATAGAAATGTAGCGAGCCAGATTTGTGGCCTCCTAAAAACCTGGGATGTTGTTTATCTAGCACATTCTCCCTCTGCCTTTAAAATGCTTGTTTTGGCAGAGGATAGACAAAGTTCGCTCCCGAGCAGAGAGCTGCTGGGATTTTGGAAGGACTCTTTCTGTACCTCCCTTGAGTCAAAGACTTTCTATCAAATATGAGAAAAGCCTATTACTAGGAATTAACGCATGGAAAAATAGGCTGATAGGCTTGCTATCTGTGACTGCATGTCCTGTCATCCCCAGTGCACAGTGACTTGTGGTCAGGGACTGCGCTACAGGGTGGTGTTATGCATCGATCACCGTGGCCTGCACGCCGGAGGCTGCAACCCTACCACCAAACCGCACATCAAAGAGGAGTGCCTGGTGACTGTGCCCTGCTACAAGTCCAAAGGTGGGTGATTTTGCACGTTTTGTCATGTTTTAAATATAGAGTGGCGCTTATGTTCAGCCTCATTTTTGCATCATTTCCTGTAGATACACTACCAGTTGAGGCAAAACCTGTATGGCATAAGCAGGCCATAGAGCTTGAGGAGGAAGTCACAGCCAGTGAGGAACCAACGTGAGTACCAGCACTCAACAACAAAAAGCTAAACTGTCTTTCTGACTCTTAAAGCATTTGAGACCTTCATCACTAAGCCTCTTTGGACCAGTCAGAGGTGCAAGTCCTGTTAAAACCATTGCAGGTGTTTGGGTCTTGCTGCACTTTACTATTCTGGAAAGATGCAACTGCTAAAGCTATACAAGGTAAAGTTTATCACCCGGAAAAGAAGGGGAAAATCTACAGCATTAAATTACTCCTGGTCCTCAAGGTTAAAAAAGCAAAAAGTCAGATCCCAGTTACACAGTTTCAACAACCAGCAGCTTAGGACTAACCTGGAGGTGAAATTGAAGCAGACAGAGCATGGCACTGGCACGTAAAGGCTACAGTATCAAGGTTGTGTTCATGTCAGCAGCAATTTCCATCAACATGGAGTCCAACAGGAGCGTTTACTACAAATCCAATTTCAAACAAGTAGAGACTCTGCGTAAAATGTAAATAAAAACAGAATGCTTTGATTTGCAAATCTCATAAACTGTATTTTATTCACAGTAGAAAATGCATTAAATATTTAAATGGAGAAAACCTACCATGTTATGCAAAAGATTTCCTCATTTTGAATTTGATGTAAGCAATGCATCTGAAAAAAATATTTCCATGTAGCAGACGGGTCTGCCCCGGATCTGGTGTCAAGCTGGCACTGCTGGCTGACTTCTGGCATGGTAAGTGGTATGTCCTCCAGATATGGGCCAGGTCTGGTGTAGATGGCACTGTTTAAGTGATGGCATGCCACATCTGGCCCAATTATGGTTTGGTTTATGTGGCCCAGGCCCATAGAAAACAGGTCTTCCCCGGATCTGGCATCAAGCTGGCACTTCTGACTGACTGGTGTCATGGCAGGGTGTATGTCAACCAGATGTGGGCCAGGTCTGGCAATGATGGCACTATTTATGTTCCTATTTTCCTATTTTAGTTAGAAGACCCAAATGCCATGTTGCAATACTATACTGCTATGGTAGCCAACGTTTCAAATGCAGGTTTGACAGGTTTGTGAGTGTACACTTTATCCAAAACCTGGTGAGGGTTTGCTCATATTTACCACTGGGTGGCTGTGGCTCAGGAGGTAGAACAGGTCACCTACTGATGGGAAGGTTAGTGGTTTGATCCCTGGCTCCTCCAATCTGCATGTCAAGAGTGTGAATTTGTATGCATTCAGTTTAGAGTAGAAAAGCGCTATGTAGGAATCAGTCAGTTCACTGTCTGTTACTTTCGCACTATTGTATATTACATAGGTTTACCAGAGGTAATCCACACATGGGCCAGCACATGACCACCAGTGTGTCTGCAACTGGCCTTGTGCTAGCCCATGTGTGGGCCACCTCTGGCAAACCAGATCTGGGCCACCAAAGGGCTGTCATTCTTTGCGGTATGTGGGCCATGTGTAAGCACATTGTGTGGGCCAGATCTGGGCTATACTGATTTTGCTGTGTGGGTTGGGACAGCTTTTGGAAATGAGCGCTGATAACAAGCCAGATGGTCCTGCTCCTCTTTAGTCTGGTAGAAATGGTGTCCATGTTTTCCAAGGAGAATTTCACATCCAGAGAAGATGTTGGCGCCTGTACATCATGTCCATATGTGGTTTCTTCCTTGCATGATGCAGCGTGTTAACCTGCAAGTGTAGATGGCAGAGTGAACGGTGTTCACACGCAGTGATCTCTGGAAATGTTCCTGAGTCCATGCAGTAATATCTGTGACAGACTCAGGCCTTCTTTTAATGCTGTGCACACTGAGCGATAATCATTTTTTGGACTTGTCTGATGCGCACAGAGATTTCTCCAAATTCTCTGAATCTTTCGATGATATTATGCACTATAGATGATGAGCTATTCAAAGTCTTCACAATTTTACAATTATACCCAGTTATGTTACTGACCTGTTGCCAGTTATTTCATACTAGCTGCCTTGGTCTTAAATAAGCACTATTTGCTCCTTTAACCCTTGCTTTGAGCCAACTCCACTCTGATTGGTTTTCCAGTTTAAACAGAAAGTTTGAACAGGAGGCTTCTCTTATGTATTCCTAAATTAGGGACATCCTCTGTCTTGAGCAGTGTCATGGGGATTATTTGCACACACTCTGACTGACGTCTTTATTTTGAACTTTATTTTGTTTAATAAGATCACCCAAGGAAAAGCACAATAGGTCCACTTAAAGGTACATTTGAGGGTGGTTGAAAGTGTTTCTTGTCACCTGCATGGAACTAATAAAACGTTGTATGGGGCTATTGAAGGGAAGAAGGGAAACTAAAGGTGAAGAGTCAAAACATCTTTCGGAAAGCCTTAAGAATGTACAGTCGCTGGCTACCAGCATTACCTCAGCAAGCTCTCACACGTTCCAGATGTTCTTGTCCCACACATCAGTTAGCTAATAATGGCCGCCTTCTGAAAATGCACAATATTTGGACTCTGCCCAGTGTCTTGCATGACTTGTATTAGCAACCATGTTAGCCAGTTTAAAACATCTGTAACTCTGACTTATCTGTGGAGTGCGAGAAGTGCCAAAACATATGATTTTGCTCAGCTGCAAAAAATTAAAAAAAAGCATGTCTGTCCTCAAAAAGCACATAAATATCTGTGTATAATATGCCGTCATTCACAAGCCAACAACAATATCTGCCCACCATATGGGGCCAGGTTACAGATGTGAGAGGAAAGAGAATGAAATTCCTGTGCTAGACTTATTGCACCTCCGTTGCCTGCGCCGAAACCCACCGCTGCGCGGCTGCTTGAAAAATTAAACCCATATATGTTCTCCAATCAAGCCAAAACATTTTTTCACCGTGAGTAAATAAAATATTTCCACTGATGGATATTTAATTGATACGATTAACATGGGGCTTTGGCAGATGTGACAAAAATGTGTTGTTTCCCCCCATGAATGAAATCGGGATCGTTTTTGAACTGACAGATGTACTTTAACGGCGCATGAAGATAAACATTTCTGTGGGTTCGCTCGTTGACTTTGTCGTTCCTGTTCCAAAGTCTAACTGCCGGTGATTCATTTGTTTGCCCGTAACACAATGAGTCCTTGAGCTCTTGTACAGAGCCAGCTTTGCCTTAATCATGAGCTCTTTATTGAGGCGTCTTATAAAACAGCAGGGTCCTCTTGTGTTGCGGTCAGACTGTTAAACCAAGGAAGAATGCGGCACAGTGGTGAAGGCTGCCATGCAAAATATGCTTTGCTACCATTATGAGCTTATTAAGGAAAGATAAAGATAGTTTGTCAGGTTCACAAACGCTGTTAGGAAGCAGTGCTTATACTTGCACATTATGTACTTTACCGATTTAAACCGTTTTGTTTTCACCTCAAAAGATTTGTAGTGCTCACTTAGGTAGTTCACTCGTTTCTTTTCATTGCTAAGTGATTGCAGAGGAATTTGACTGCATGTTCTTCCTTCTGATTGGCTCCCTGCCATAAGCAGAAGGTTTTAACAGCAGGTGGGCGTGGCTTCTGTCCTCCCACACAGATCCTATTGAAGAGATCCCTTCTCTCTGACATTGTAAATGGTACATCATTCCTATCTAACTTTCTTATTCCACTGAATGCATCTGAGAGCCTGGGATTCGGGATCTTGCCCAAGGCTACTTAGTTGACACTTTAGCACTGCAAACATGTCCTTTTGTGCAATAAAAATAAACATCCTTAATAATTGTGGGCAATCCCACTGTTTTCCACATAAACTGAAATCAGCTGATCGGCATGTTTAATGTGTTTTTCTTTCTGTCTGTCTGCCCGTCGTGCAGATAATTGAAGTAACAGTAACCTGATTACTGAAGTAATTACAGTGGCGTGGTACATTACTCAGTTTAACGTCTAGCACTCGCAACAGGGAAGCACTGAAATAAAGTCATACACTCGCTTTGTGTCTTCTTGTGTTCAGGTTTAGGAAATGGAAGTCGTTAATCTAGGGGGGAAATGTAGCTATTTTATAAGACTAATAGCTTTGCCACTACCTATCTGCTACATGAAAAACTGCATCTTGATTCAGACACACACACACACATCTGCTCATGACTGTGCAGAGCTGATGGTTCTGATGGATGTAGTTTTGTTTTTTTACTTTCACATATGTCTCAAATGACCATCCTTATCAGCTACTCATTCGATCAATGACAGCTGTGATTTAGAAACACAGTTCAACCTGTGCCTCTGGTCTTAAAAACTTTCGCATGTACTCAACACCTCCAATATGACATATGTGCAAGTCCTTTAAAGTCTGTCTGCCAAAAAGGAACCAGAAGTGTTGAGCTCAGACCTAAACAGGACAGCTGCTCTGTGTTGTAAACATCAGGCTATTGTCCAAAAGCTACAGTCCACACTGTAAGTATTTGGACAGCTGGACATGTGTTTTGTTGTTAAGGCTCTGCGCTCCAAATGATTGATACCACGCGAAAGGGCCAAGACTCAGTTTTAATTTGAGTATTTTCCTATCAACTGTAAAGAAACTTGTGGTGAAAAATACCCATAAATTATCTGATATATATTATTTTATTTCCTTTGTTTGAGGCACTGCAAAGGGTAAAAGTGAGAGGCTGTCCCCTCAGACGGACACTCTCTGCTGTCAGCTTAGCGGTGCATCTGTCACAGAACTGAGCACTTGCTTACTGGTAATATAAGATGTTAATAGGAAGGCCTCGTTTATTTGCTCTCAGGTGCACGTTGTGGGACAGACGCTGTCTTTGTATGTCCATATATCAATAAGTGAGTATCCAGAGTTTTCACAAGGACATAATGAGCACAAGAACCACTTTGAATGATCTCCTAAATCACTTGATTTAATCTCACTGAGTCATATAGAGCTTCTGTTCAAGCATTTCTGTGTGCATTTTCAGCAAAGTTATAGAATCAGTTCAATCTGAAGAGGGCTTTCAAACTCCTTTCTGTATCACACTTTCTGATCTTTTACCCTCTCTGATTTCTGTTGAAGGAGTGATAGTTCAGTCTCTGGGCCTTTCAGGTTTTCTTCCCCTCATCCATTTTTTAAGATGAGGAAGGATGCACATGAAAGCTGTTTATCCAAGAATAGCTGATCGTAATGTTTCACAGCTGTGCAATTAATCACGCTGCACTGACTGTATTTCATAAATGCTTAATGAGTTTAAGAACCCAGCCACTAATGAATACAATGTGTTTACAGAGAAAACTAAAAAAGACAGCAAAAACAAAAACAAAAAAAATAAATCGACTGTGATTTGCTATCAAACAGTCCAGGTTTGGTTTGGAAACAGTCCTTATCAAAATTTTCATACTTTTCCACTTGAGTCATCTGTTGCTTGCTCTCCTCTCCAGCTTTATCCCCGGTCCCTGGCAGCCCTGCAGCAGGACATGTGGTGCTGGGACCCAGCATCGGACGGTCAAGTGCCAAGTGCTGCTGTCTTTCTCCCAGACAATCGTGGACGTGCCAGATGATGAATGCGAGGGGGTCAAACCTGCTACCAGCCAGCCTTGCTACAGCAGTCCCTGCTCTGTAGATTTGGGTGAAGCAGGAGAAAGTGAAGAAGTGGAAGAGGTGGAGGAAGAGGAGGAGAAGGGCAGGACACTGCAAAGAGAGGAACTGCACGACTGGGAGTACGAGGGCTTTACTGAGTGCTCAGAGAGTTGTGGGGGAGGTATGATCTTTATTGATCTCTCTGACATGGGAAAGTAAAGAGAGAGAAGTTGAAAGAGTAGATTTGGGGAGTTGAAAAGTTAACTCGTGTCTGCAGCTATGCTGACACCCTCCCAGTGACAATAAAAATATGCTGGCGCTTAGCAGGTGTAACATTTACCACATCTCCAGTCTTAGGTCAGCATGTTAGCATGTCTGCGATCACTGTTTTCTGCAATCCTTCTGATGCTGTTTCCCTTTAAAACCAAAAATATTAGCCTTATCGTGGCCCTAGAAGAAAAACTCAGGAGATCTCACAAGTCAGCTCTGCATCCTGTGGGGGACCATGTGCAGATTTCATAGCAATCCATCTCAAAACATTTTCTAATATGCTTCACAAAAATATGTAAAATTTACTTCCAACTGAATCAGGGACAAATATGCTCACATTTAATTTTTTTTTCTTCTACTTTTGGCTGATATCGCTGTAGAAATACGCCTACGCATTTTGGCACAGTCTTCATCAGGTACAAAAGTTCAAATGCTCTGAAGACTGCGTGCTGAATCGTGTCAGTTTATTTCTGCTGTGACGCGAGACCCACTGAAAAGTTTATTGCGAGTATTTCTGTCCTTTATCTGTGTTTGAGATGTGCTGCGTTTTTGCATCTCTTTAAATATACTTCTTGGATTTTCAGTTTAGCTCTCTACTGAAGCTTTCACTGTTTACGCATCCTTTTATTTTCACTCTGGTGGATCCAGAGACAGTGCCAACCCTGGAGCTGTACACCTGTGGTGGCTCCAACGCGCAGAGCAGATTTGTAGATTATGCTGCAAGTAAATACATCAGCAGCAGACAAGTGCTGTTATGTAGCTTGATTTGACAGTAAGTCTTGAAGACCAAGTCAACTCCGTGAGTGCCACTAAGTACGTCCCAGCTGAATCATTAAAACAAATGTGATGTGCTCCAGCCTTAAACTATTGTCACTGGATGTCTGACGCCAGTAAATGCCTCGAGCAGATGCAAATCATATCATATTAAATGATAGCGGATGGCATAGAGGTCATACGTCGCCAGTGCTCAAGGCACTGGGAAAATGCTTTGCCAGACAGAGACCGCTTTCTTAAATATCCTGCCAACATGCATTGAGGCCCACTTTAATCTTCCTACCTACACATGCAAGCATGCGTGCCTGCCTCATGTGCGTTTGCCTTAATCTCTGCGTGTGTGCGTTTGTAACTTAATTTCTGCACACGGGTGTGGGCTTTTGTCAGTGTCTGCGTATGCGCTCATCCAAACTCAACAAACTCCCATTCGGGGATGATTACACTCCGGTATCAGATGTCCGATGCACACCCTGAGGGCTGTGCTCCTGTGGACCATCACACTGCTATGGTGTTTGAAGTTCCTGCTTCGCTGTTATTGTCCCCAACATTAGAAGCAGACTCAGGGAGTTATGTTACATTACTTTTAATATGACTTTGCATGAAAACTCTGAGAGTGCATCCACAAGTTGAGGCAACCAAAGTGTTTTAATGTATTTTGGACCCTAAAATCTTCCTTTTTAATTACAGCGTCTGCAAAAAAGCAAGCATGACATTGCTGTGTTCTCTAACCGCAGGTGCGCAGGAGGCTGTGGTTATCTGCCTGAACAAGCAGACCAGAGAAGCAGCAGACCAAAGCCAGTGTGTGAGCTCTCGCCGACCCCCACGACTCCTCCAGGACTGCAAAACTCAGCCCTGCCCACCCAGGTACAATAAAAACCCCTAACTCAGACCTCATTATCGTCATCATTATTATTTAAACATGTTTCAAACGGTTTGTGCATGAAAATTAAAAAGGATTTGATTAATGGATGTAGTAAAAATAGGGAGGAAATGCATTTTTGGGGGATGGAAAAAAACGTTTGGCTACGTTTAAGAGAAAAATATTAATTAAAGTCAGGAAAAAAATATGGCTGTGCTTTCTCTTAGCTTGCCAAGAGTGCATCCATCCAAAAATGTGCAATATTCAGTACAAAAGTGGAACGCTGATGTACCACTTTTTCAGAGCCTAGATAAATTCTTAGCTGAATCGGTTAAGTTTGACGGTTCGTTCAAAAGCTTCTAATCCGCCTCTCGGTTCAAACCAACTGGGGCAATTAAATCTCTGTTAAGGCTGCTCGAGTCCAAGAGATACTAAAGCAGAACGACAGAGATGGATGGTTGTATCTCTGCAAGCAGCAAATTAAACCTTGTGGAATCTGACAGTGATTAGCTTTACCTGCGAGGTTCAGTTGTCCTTGGAAAGGGAAATCTAGGAGGCTTCAGCTGTTTTTCTAAGTGATTTCTTTTGGCAAGCTCTTTTTACAACTAGGAATGGCCTTCAGTGATTGCATGTCATATTGACAAATTTGCCACATTACCAGAGGGGTTAACAATGTAGGGTTTATCCTGAGGGGATGCTATTGAAAAGCCTGTGGGTGGGTAAGTAATGTTATGCAGTCAAGCATGACTTATGTTAATACATGTAATGGCAGTCTTCCCGTTTCCCTCTCCAGGTCAAAATGTAGGTCCAGAGAAAAAAAAAGGGAATCATTGAAGTAACTGTGATCATCCTCTGGGGAGCGTTCAGTGCTTGCTACATTTCAAGCTCAAATTATTTTTGATATTACAGGTTTAAGCTGTGCTGTTAATGTTTAAGTCAAAATGTAGCTTCTTTTTTTTTTTTTTGTTCAATTCAACATACGAGCAGTTTATAAACAGTGTTATTTCACATTTCAAATTGCAAATCATAAGTATTTTTTTTGTGAACCTACCAGATTGATGCACGTCCAGATTAAACACCTAAAAGGTCAAACAGCAAAACTGCATGTTGTTTAACATGAGCAAACTGTGGCTAAATGGTGAGTGGACTTTGTGGTTGGCCACACGTTTCAGGTTAACACCGTGCACATTGTCAGTGTTCTACCCCTCACACTCTTGTCAGAAAACCCAGAGGCTTGCAGCCTGCCCTTGCCTGTTTTTCCAGGCTTTGAGTCTTGTTTTTAGGCACAACAAATGCAGTATTGGGCTTGTTTCCTTTGGCCCTTTTCTCCCTCCCTGAGGCCTCCTCACCATCCCATATTAAGCTACACTCTTTGGATAGTGTTCCCCCTGAAAGGAAAACAGCCATAGGATTTAGCTTTGAGTATAGCAGCCGTCCATGAGCAAGCTTCATTCCCAATTCTTCTCAGAGCCTTAAATAAATATGAGTAGTTTTGAAATATCACCCAATCTGTCGAGCAGAAAATGAAATTGCTGCCATCTCATTTCAAGCCAAAACTTTAAAGGCATGGCAACCACTTGGACACTGGCCACAATTTGGAATAAACCTGCCAAAGTAACTTTGATGCTGGATTAAACCCAGTTTAAAATTTTGTTGGGCAGCAACATGAATATTAATTCCAGTAGTTCATTGGAAAAATACAAATGAAAAAGTAATGCAATAGGGATTTCTTGAATATCGTGAAGCTCGGTGTGGGATTTTATGTTTCATGTCTTTTTCACTTGTATTCACCTTCATGATTTTACATATTCATAAGACTGCAAAGGTGTTCTCTCACTGGATCAAGAGATATATGTACAGTACTATTTACAGTGCTATGAAGTATAGATAAGATACGATAAGATACCTTTATTAGTCCCACGAGTGGGAAATTTCATGTGTGCAGTGTACTGTAGATTTGCCATAATGAGCACAATAAACATTGTTCTAACAGGTGGGAAACTGGAGAGTGGAGCTCCTGCTCAGCTACATGTGGGGTAGGTCTGATGATTCGCACTGTGGGGTGCACACACCGGCCCTCTCGTGACAGCAATCACACTTTCGTTTTGAGGGACGAAGACTGTCAGAACCCCAAGCCCAGTCCTCTCCAAGCCTGCAACCGCTTTGACTGCCCTCCTATGTGGGACACGCATGACTGGGGACAGGTAAAGGACATCATCTAAAAAGTTTACCACTGCAAGTGTTTGACGATTGGGAATCAAGCGCATGTGACTGATTTAATCTCTGCGTGTTTTTGCACCCAGTGCTCCCAAAGTTGCGGTGGTGGGGTTCAGAGGAGGCAGGTACTATGCAAGCAACGGTTGGCTGATGGCAGCATTCTGGAGCTACCTGACACGTTTTGCCCTACTAAGAGTCCTACAAGCCAGCAGCCCTGTGGTGAGCAGGAATGCCCACCTGAGTGGGTCACAACTAGCTGGTCCCAGGTAGCCTACCTTTCAGCCAGAAATCATTCTGCCATATTGCTGTTGTTCAAATGGACATGTTAAAACTGGTACTTTGCAGGTTTTGTTTATTTTAATACATTTCTCTTGTTTTTCCAGTGTTCAGTGACATGTGGAAATGGTATTCAGACCCTCCAAGCTGTTTGCAGGAAGAAAGAGGTGAATGGAAGGTATTTGACAGCAGACCCTAAGAACTGTTCCCTGCTGGCTCGTCTCAACAGAATCCGACCATGCTTCTTCAAGCCCTGTGAAAGTAAGATACTCTTTATTTGGCTGTGTTTATGTAAGTTATACTGCATAGAACCAAAAGAAAAGGGAGTTAGCTCCCTTTTCTTTTGGTTCCTTAAATGCAAAGTTTTGTATATCCCAAAGTACAGATATTTGAGCCAACAATCAAGCATTAACCTGTCCTCTTAATTACAGACTCTGTCAAGCCTGATGCCACCATACTGGCTCAGAGAAAAGTTTATATCCAGTGGCGTAAAGGCAAAAAGGTTCACCTGGGCATTGGTGGTTATGCGTACATCCTGCCTTGGACAACTGTGGTCCTTCGCTGCCCAACCCGCCACTTCCGTAAGGGCCAAATCCACTGGTTGAAGGAAGGGAAGCCCATGGTCAACCTACCACACCTCTCCATAACGTCACTAGGATATGTGAAGATCCATCAGGTTCGTGCATCTGATGCTGGGATATATACATGTGTCGCAGGTGAGGCACAAGAACATTTAGTCTTACAGATCATTGGCAGCAAGCAAAAGCTGTCTGTAGCAGAGTCAATGCTCAGACGACAAAAGGTTGGGCGACCGGATGCAATCTCAGCTCAAGAAAGATTTCAGGAGCTTCACAGCTCCCTCAACCGATATGATGCAATTATTGAGCGTTTGCTTAATCATAAAGAATCCATTCGAGATGAAAAATACATCGCTGACAAATCACCTGCGAGTGAAAAGAACAGTTCTACCCTGGAGGATGAAGGGTCAGAAATTTACATCCCAGAGGTCCTCGTTGCCGACACACGCAGGCTAGAGGAGATCATGAAAAACTTTGCCGAAGACCTTGGAGGACTACGGGAGGAACAACTTATCGCACAACTGCTTAGTGAGCTCACTGTGGCACAGGGTGAAACGAATGAGTCGACTCTTCACCCTCCAGAAAGTGCTGAATCTTCCACGCAAGAGCCACTCCATTATAAACCAAACATTAAAGCCCACACAGCCAGACCAAGAAACCCACTGATAATTCAACGTTCGAAAAAGATTGGAGAGGGGCCACAATCTGAAATGATAGTTTATGTGGGAATGCCAGTTTTCCTGCAGAAACCAGTTGTTAGTTTAGTGTTGAAGTGTGAAGCAGTAGGAAATCCTGACCCATCTGTGACATGGACAAAGAATGGGAAAGAGTTGCGCTACAGTAGCAGGTAAGAACTAACCTTGAAGTAAGGACTTTTTGTGAAAATTACATGGCTCCCTGTGGCTTTTTTATGATTATATCAAAGACCTGGATAAGGCTTCATAGATAGCTTGTCTTTGTGTTGGCAGAGTAGGCCTGTTGCCTACAGGATCACTGAGGATCCAGTACCCAAGCAAAGGGGATGAGGGTTTGTACACCTGCACTGCCAGAAACCGTTTTGGAAGGACATCTCTTTCGTCTTCGGTGCAAATTACTGGTAAGGTTTATAGATCCGTAGGTTTCAATGGTTTATACAGAAGCTCCACCTTCTTGTGGTTCAAGCTTCTGCCTTGAGATGTTTTGAAAGTGGCCTTGAAGCGAGTAGAAGGCAGCTAAGGTTCTCAGTCACACAGGCTTAGAGACTGGTCATCAGATATCCGACAACCATCAGTTGCCTGGAAAAAATATGAATTCTCTGACCGGTTGCTAGGTGATGTTGAGTTAAATTCAAAGCAGGCACTGGACCAAAAACATCTTTGGGATTTCTTTGATCGCAGATTGTCACGATTGCCCATAGTTTGCATTAAACATGCTGAACACCAGCAAACTGCTCTCCAAGCAGTAGTGAAACTGTGAAAAGTGTGATGCACACAAGAACTGGAGAACATTCAAAGTGAATTGGACCTTCCCATTAAAACCAACACATTTAAGAAGATGGGACTTTTGCTTTCAAGGTGAATGGTCTCCATTTCCGGTCTATATTGTTCTTTTCACACATTGACCATGGCTTGGAGAGTAGCTTGCTAGTGCTTGCAAACAGGTCCTCATCTTCCATGCAAAATATGGGCGACTGTGGCAACCTCTTTGCAACCTAAGAAATCGCAGCTCCGTATACCATTTTGCGACCAATTGCCTGCTAGTGACTGCATCTGCGTAACTTTGTGCTGAACATTGGGGGGTGTCAAGATCTCTGTCTAAATAAATAAATAAATCTGGGTAAATTCCCAGATGATTAAACATGCAACTATTTTGCTGGTAATACTTGAAATGAGTAAAGAAAATCAACAGCCTATTTATGCAAGATAATTCCTAATTTTATTGGGGGGGTTATATTGGTTGCGTCTGATTATTGGAGGGGTCATAACCCCCCTAACCCACCTGGAAATTACGCCCCTGCATGAATGCCAGCAACCTCCAGCAAACACTCTGTGGACCACTCTCTGGGTTCTGTGTGAATCAGCCTTCAGTAGTTGATTTCACAGCGACCCATGGTTGCCAGATTGGTGCTAAAAGGTCTGAGCAGGAAAACAAACAGAGAACAAACTGAGGGGCTGCAGCAATGGACAAGATAAGCAAAGCTTGTTTTGAAATGTGAATCATGCTGTTACTTTATTACACTCCAAGAATTAGAAATAGGAAGTTGTTAGTAAAGAAAGTTGGTTGAGGTTAAACATTTTGCAGAATTACCCTTTGTGTTTTCTTGCTAAAAGCTAGATAAAAAATGCCACATGCAAATCTTTGTGTAATGTAGGTGGAGCCAGACTTTTAGCTGCTAACTGCAATGAGGTTTCAGAGATATTTTGCAGTATATAGATACTAAAAACATCACTATGACTTTTGAGAAAAGTATGTTAGAAATACTTAAAATTGATCAAGTTTGTATAGACCCAATGTCGAGTTGAGTTTGTCCTAATGCTGCTTTGAATAGTCCAGTTTATAGTAATTTGTGTTGTTCTTTGTGGTTTAGGCTTCGAGGTTCTGGGAAAGCATGCGTTCATCCAGCATAGAAACACACAAACTCAAGAGTAACCGCAGACACAGATATTCAGTAAGCTCTTACTTATCCCAGTGGCTCATGTGGCTGAGTCATTGACAGAGGAATGTCCGGGGCATCACACAGAGCTCCGGTCACCTCTGAGCTACGCTGTCCTTCATCTCTTCAGCATGATCAGCCACATTCTCATCAAAGCGCCGCCACTGTGCGTTTCCTGATCCTATAGTACGCTTCCTCTCCATACGGCAACAATTAGAGGTTCCAGGCAATGTTTCAAAGAAGATTAACTTAACATACCATATTCAGCTAATCTAAATAGAAAGGATAAGGAGTCTTTAAAGGGCTGAAAAATGCCCTGACTGTATTTTGTTATATTTGAATTCAGAGTCGGTTAAAAGCAATGTAATGACTATACTCTTGGGCATTTTAAGGTCAGAGTATTTGAAGAAAAGGAAATGCAATCCAAAATACATGGAATGACTTTCAAATATTTTAGGAAGACTGTTTTGTCATGAAGCTGTGTGGTAATGTTTTTCTTTAAATCCTGGCGCATCAACTGATGAGGTTGGTGAACACACCATTCTCATTTTATTTTATATTTTATGTTATTTTCAGGTGGCAAAGGAAGAATCTGTGTCCAAGGCAACAGTGTGGGAGCAAATGGACCGGCTTGTTCTGAGAGGAGGAATGGCAGTCGGTCGGCCGAGCTGTGCCAAGGACAAGCCTGCCTCTTCAGGTATGCTGCTGCTCTACATGTGTGTGCTATTAGTGATGTTAAACACTGAGTTTAATATTTACAGTAAGAACAGAAATCCTCCGTTTACTCACTGCATATGTGAGTATCTGAAAAGATTTTTTGGCCTGAAACATCTAATATCTACTTGACTTTTCCTCTTGTTTTATTAGGTGGCGAGTTGATGCTTGGTCCCCATGCTCAGCCACTTGCGGTGGTGGAGCCCAGACTAGAATTGTGCGCTGCATGAAGGGTCCCGAGGGCAGGTCAGAAGAGGTAGAGAGTCCAAATTGCCTTGGAGCAGGAAGGAAACCCTCTGATGCAAGGCCGTGCAACCTCCTTCCCTGTGCAAGATGGGCCACAACCTCCTGGGGGCCGGTGAGCCAAGATATTATTGTGCACAAGCTTGTTTTCACAAGGTTTTATCATAAAAACACAGTTTAGACTCAAAACCTTCCCCTAGCAAGAAAATATTTTTGTAATGATAGCTGGGAAATCTGATGAATTCTCCTCTTCCAGTGTCATGGCAGGTGTGTGGGTCCCAGTTTGGCCACACAGCACCGCCATGTCTACTGCCAAGACCCCAATGGTACCAGAGTCCCCCACAGGATGTGCACTGGGCTCCACAGGTAAAGATGGGAATAAGATTAAGAATGTTTAATACTGTTGGTGATATGTGCTATCGACATACATTTAAAAAATCCAGTTATGGTTCATATTACAAAGGAAAAAAAGGCTATTCAGCAGAATACTATTTCAGGTATGTTCATATTTTAGGCCAAGCTCTTTGAGGAATTGCACCGCTGAGGCTTGTGCACTTCAGTGGCTCGTGGGGCCTTGGACACAGTGCACCGCCACGTGCGGACGGCACGGTTTCCAATCACGCCAGGTGACCTGCGTCCACCTTCGGACCAGCAAGGCCTTCCGAGACCGTCACTGCACGTGGAGGCCTCGGCCTGCCAGCTGGCAGCGATGTAACATTTTATCCTGCGGCAGAGGTGAGAAAAAGTTACAGTAATGTCAAGTGTGAGTCGTAAATAAATGTACAACATATTGTGGGTTTTTGCGAATTTTATTTTAGTTTCTATTGCTTAAAAATGTTTGGGTAATTTTTTTTAATTGCAACTTTATGATTTTCTTCTTTTGAGGGGAAGAAATTCTAGAAGGCAGAAATTTAGGAAGTTCAGAATAGATTTTACAATGAGAAGTGCAACTGAAATGCTCTGTGAGCCTGCTTGCAAAAACAGAACACCATACAGTGCCTTCATAGGCAGTCACTGAATCCTCTTATTGCATGTTTTTGATCACATTGACATCTTTGCCTTATTAAAGAATCACACCAATGACGCCTGATGGGTCAAACTTTGTTTTCTCGCAACACAAAATTGTTGCAGTGGTTTTAGTTAAATGCAGTTGCTCACACTCTACCTTCATTTCAACTAAAAAACAAAACAAAAGATGAAAAGACAATCTAGTTGTGTTTGCACTTGAGCCCAGCGCGTAATAAACATAGCTGTGGTTTCATATGATGAGACTTGGCAGTATCTGTCTCTAACTTGTCTGTTGGCACCCCATTACAAAACTGGTGAAGGAAACTTTGCCCGCGGTGCTTAAAGTGCTGAAAAATTGCCTTAAAAAAACCAACAAAAGCCTCTGCTGTGTCAGGTATTTCCAGAAACAATGTGCCGGTTAATTAGAAAAAGCCACAGACCACAGTGAGAGAAAGATTGCCAAATGTTTACGAATTAGAGCACTGGACCTGAAATTTCCAACAATATATCCATAGCTAAGCACTACAGCCCACAGCCGCGACTGTGCATAGTAAAACGTATCCTCTGTATATTCCAGCAGGAGAGTGCCGGGACAGCACGAGGTACTGTGAGAAGGTGCGGCAGCTGGAGCTTTGCCTGCTGCCCCAGTTTAAGAGCCGCTGCTGTTTCTCCTGCCGAAACACCTGAAACGGAGAAGTGAGAACGTTGGTGAAAAATCTGGAAAGGTCAGGGAAGGTGTCACGGAAGTCAAGGAACCTCTATGCCTATCCCAACACCCTCCAATGTCTTCAACGATCGCTCCTGGATTCCCGAGTGCGGAGGAATGTTTGTTTGTCATACCCAAAAGTGACTAAAATCGACTTTTAAGATACCATACGTGGGTTTGAATTCAAAATTATTGCTACGAGAGGAAACCACGTCTGTTAATGAAGGCTTTGGTTTTACTTCTTTATTTTTAATTTAAATCTGAAGTTCGTACAAACAGCTTTTGTGTCCCAAACAGTAGATATATTTCCAGTGTGAGCAGTAGGAACTCTGCGGTTTCATAAAGGGGAACTAAAGCCTTAAAAGCCGTGATTACGGTCATGTCCACATTAACAAAATCTGAGCAACGTAATCTTCAGTTTCAGGTTCCTGAGCAAACGGAAGATCACTATCATGTTCCTCTGAAACACAATCACTCCACGCCAAATTAAGTTTATATGATTGCATTCAAATTTACGAAGTAATGCGATGTTAATAATCGGCCTAAATAGATGACTGACTTCATACCAAGGAATTCTGGGTAAACGCCAAGCTTGTGATAACCACTGGATAGCTCTGTGTTTGTCTTTACTGCTAGGATTTTGATGCTAAGTGAGCTTTTATGAACGTAGCAATGGGTTAAAAAGGGGTAGAAAACTGAAAACCAGCTTGATGCTGCTTAAGTGAGAACGATGACAAAATAAAGCCTAGTATTAAATAACTGGGACACATTTAGTACCAGCCACACTTGGAAAAAAGTTTTCATAAACATAAAATATTAATTTTAAGCAAAATGCAACAAAAATGCATAAAATCAAAGGTTTATTTATTCAAATAATTAATCAGTAAGGGAAATGTGGTCGGTGTAAACTGAATGTATACCATATATCAAGTAACTTGAATTTGACCAGATTACATTAAGTTTATCATTTTACATGTACTTATGTTACAAAATTACATGGAAAGTTTACATTTAATCAAATTAAAGCCAACATTTTGGGCATGAATAGATTTAGCACATGTTGACCATAATAACTGGTCTTTCAAAGCAGCAAGGGAGTCCAATTGCAGTTTTTAGAGGGTAAGACTCAATTTTTATTATTTTTTTTGCATGGGTTGCACTATAGGAGGTGTACGACTGAAGCAAATAATGTTTTGGGAAAAAAAGGATTTTGCACTCAGAACTCATCCAAGTCTTTGTTAAAAACATGGCTTGCAGAGTTAATTTCTTTCTTTTTTTTTTTACGTAGTTTGTAAAGTTGCATTGTTTCAGTATTTTTGTTTTGTGATATTTCTTGAGAAGATATTTGCCAAACGTGTCCCTTTAACCACTCTGTGAAGTTACACACGCTCACACGCAGATCTGATAAAGTTCATCCAGTCCGCCATGTGTCACAGTGTCATATTTACATGTCTGTGAATGTATGATGGGAAGCTTTGCAGTGATCATTACTAATGTGTCGTGTGGACACATTAGTAATGGACTTGGTCTCTGCGTCCTGGGTTCCACAGAGCTTCACTGTCATCAGGTGCAACCCAGCTTTAGCTGAAGACTACTTGGCCCTACGCTGAGATGTGGTTATGTGATATCACAAGAGGAAAATATTGTATCACATGTCATTTTCTTAAGTTATGTAGATATTTGTCATTTAAACTATTTATTTCCATGTGTGTCCCTGAGCAAAGTTTCTGTAAATATTACAGGGGTGGGTCTCTCCTTGCGGCTGATGGTAGTTGATGTGCATGCGATGGGGACCCCCTGCTGGTGACTTGATGTGTTGCTCCCTATCGTTAAATAAAACCAAATACATTCCTTTTTATAATCTGGTTGTTGTGATTGCTCTTCTTTCTTCTATATATATATTTTTTTTTTCATGGGAAAGTCCATATAATGGAGTCAGAGATCAACATTAACAAATCGACATTGATGTCTGTATTACAAATAACAAGAGCAGGAATTTCAACATATAGTAGTGCTGTCATCATGACAAGGGACACTTCCTGTCAGGATCTGACGGCACCCTAACCGGTCGACCTGCCAGTGTGTATATTTGTGTGCGTGTGTATGTGTCTCTCCTATCGCCCTGTCTTCCCCTCCGGCTCCGCTGTGATGCGTTAGGAGGTAACCTAGCAACAGGCTACCTCCGACCCAGAAGTGCTGTCGCCCGGAGCTGCCGCACCTTCAGTCAATCCACCAGCTGCTGCCAATCAACTACCATCTTCAGCAGAAAAAACAAACAAACAAAAAAACATCTTCAGCAGGGCTACTTAATGGTGTGGCTGAGCTACAGACAGCGCTGGAGTATTGCACTAAGCCTGGTAGTGTTTTCGAGTCGCTAATGTTATTGAAGTACTGTCTGATCTTCGTACTCATTTTGCTGTCGTGTGTGTGTTCACCCAGGGATTGACGGAGGATTTACGGACACAAAGGAAGCACTTGGAGGAGAGACGGGCACTACCACGCACGGGCTTACACGGAAGGAAGGACGCACTATCACCATTGTTGCACATTTGAACTGTTGTCACCTTGCTGCACTGTAAATAAACGCACTGTCATTATTTCTGAGCTCCGCGCCTGAGTCCACTCTTTAACAACCGTGACACTTCCCTTTTTATATCTGATATAAACTTGTCTCTCTCTATTTCTCAACTTGGGGAGAGGAACAGCAGTTCACAAGATCCCTGTTGGCGTCAAAAGGAGGAAATTCTTGCCATGATCTGACTATATAACCACGTCATTTTTTGATTCATTCTCAGGACTGTTTTACATTAAATTATGGTGGAAAAGGATTTTCATCATTCCTGTTTGACAGCAGTGAGGGTGCTGCGAGTTTCTCTTGTGGATGAACTAGAAGGACAGGTCGACTCTCTGGTAGAATTCCTAGTGTGCCGGGAAGTGTTCACTCGAGATGATCGCGAGGAAGTGTTATGTCAGCTGGGTCCCCGGATGAGAGTGAGAAAGGTGCTGGATATCCTGGAGTGCAAAGGCGAGGAAGCGGCCAGGATTTTTCTTAATGTTAAAAGTCACTATCAGTACTCCAAAGAAGTGGATCCACCTCAGTCCAGAGGTATGCATTTTCAATTTTAGCCACAGGAATGTCATTGATCAGCAGTGTTGGGCAAGTTACTTTGAAAAAGTAATTAATTATAGTTACTAGTTACTTCTTCAAAAAGAATAACTGAGTTAGTAACTGAGTTACAAGATTCTAAAAGTAATTAATTACTTGAAAAGTAACTATTGCGTTACTTTAAAAAAAAAAAAAAAGTTTAACCCTCTGGGGTCCAGGGTATAATTGGCCATTTTTAACTACTTGTGATTTTCCCTCCACATTTCACCTTTAAAAACTGTTTATTTGCCTTGTTTGGTATCATTCTTTTCAGCACAACCTCACGTGTCTGAATTTACAGTTATGTTTTCATTTTGACATACTGTATTAACACAATTGATCTAAAATCATCAAAAAACAAAATCAGAGTAGAAAAAGTTATATTTTTTTACTGTAACAAAAACAAAGATGTTTAATGAATCATATTTCATAACTTTAAATACAAATATAAATCCTATGCACAAGTTTTGCAAACAACAAATTCATTTGCATCCATTTACCTTTTACCTTGAGTTTTTAAATAACCCTTTCAAACTATTTACAGAACAATCAGCTGTTCTGCATTCAAGAAGATGCCTCACAAATTATTTGTGCCACTCCAAAGAAATAATTTCTGTCCATTATAAAGGAGAACATCACAGCCTGATACCTGCAGGTCTGACAGCAGCAGGTGTATCACTCCTGTTTCTAACCTGGAGACAGCAGTCGCCTCATTGTTCTGACACACAACACAACAACACTGCACACTAACTACACAAGCTACACTACCGTTGATCAGTTCAAGATAAGGTTTTCTCTTAACTTTAGTTGGCAGGGGTGTGTCTGAAAGGGGGAAACAGAATGGTAATTTATACCGCAAGTACAGTCTAGTCAAGCACTGTACTGAAATGTATCCTGTCCTCATCCTATATACCTGTGTATATATATATATTTTTCCAACTATACAAGTACATATGAGTGGAAGTGGAAAATTATACTGAGCTTCTTTTCTTCTACAGAGTACAGCAAAGCGAAACAAAAACACAAAGAAGTCCTGAGGCGCAGGAGTGAGAGCATGCTTTTCTACAACACCCGGCACGGAGAGAAAATTCAGTTTTCCGAACATTATGTCAATCTTCTCTTAGTTGACGGACACCAGGGATTAGAAAATAAAAGGCATGAGGTGCTGACCTTTGGACAGAAGCGACTGTGTCTGCAACAGAAGTCAGCAGTGCATGAGAAAATCACACCAGCTGAACTGTTCTCATGTGCAAAGGCAGTTCGTCCAGTCAGGAAGGTTCTGGTATCGGGGGTGGCTGGAATCGGAAAAACTATCCTGGTGCAAAAGATGTTGTTTGATTTTGGGGGAAACAAGGACCACCTTGCCTTTGACTTCATCATACACATGACCTTCAGAGACTTGAATCTGATTGACGAGCCCACAAGTTTACGAGAGTTGATCTTGCGCAAAAACAGGTACCTTGCTAAAGAACTGGATAACATCTTGGCAAATGACAACAAACTGCTGATCATCCTGGATGGCTTTGATGAGTTCAGACACTACAGGAGCTGCGACGTGGACTCTTTTGTAACTGAACCAGATGAAGATGCTGAGGTTATGGAGGTTATTGGAAGCTTGATGCAGGGTGAACTACTACCAAATGCTTCTGTGTTGCTCACAAGTCGGCCTGCAGCTATCAGCTACATCCCTGTGGGCTGCATTGACCGCTTTGTGCTCATTGCAGGGTTCTCCTTGGCCGAAGTTCAGGACTTCTTTTTTCGTTACTTCCAGGACAGGACCCTTGCTGACCGCATGTTCTCAGTGGTATCTGCAAACGAACTAATGCTGACACTGTGCTACATACCTGCATTTTGCTACATTGTCTGCTGCATCCTCAAAGAGAGCAAAGATCTTTGTGGGGGAAGCCCAAAGACCATGACGGATATTTACGTGCAGTACTTGGTGGCTTTGCTTCGATCTCACACCCAAGCGAGAGCTGAAACATGTCTTCAAGACCAAAGAGCGGGGGCCATCCAGCAGCTGTCTGATACTGTTTTAAAGCTGGGTCGACTTGCCTTCAAAAACCTACTGGAGCATCAAACATTATTTTATAGCAGCGACCGAGAGGTGGCAGCGTTAGAAGGGTCCAGCCTCGTTAGTGCTTTCCTCGACAAGACAATTGCAGAAGAACCTGGGTTCACTGAAGAGGTCTATTCATTTGCTCATCTTACTATTCAAGAGTTCTTTGCTGCAGTTTACTGTGCGGTGACGGATCACCCTTTGCCTGACGCACTTGAGCGCACATCATGTCCCAGAGATGTATCCAACAGTGGACACTTGGACCTTTTCAGCCGCTTCCTCTCTGGAATCCTCTCTGAGCGCAATGCCAGTCTTCTATCTAGGCAGGTGGGGATTTGCTGCCACAAAGAAAAAGCGAACGCATATCGTGAGAAAATCATCAGAGAACTGAGAGCTCTCTGTGAAAGTGGAGCCCACATCCTAAACCATTTGCATTGCTTGTTTGAGCAACAGGACCCCTCGTTAGCACTTGATGTGCAACCAAAGATGCTAAGAGTTAATGTTAGCGATGAAACGCTATCCCAAATGGACTACAATGCTATCAAGTATTTCCTAAACCTCACCGGGGGTAAAATATCAGAGCTGGATCTTACTGGGACTGGAATAAGCTGTGATACACTAAGAGATATTCAACATCTTTTGGGTAGATGTGAGAGTCTTTGGTGAGTTTCAGGTAAAATTCTGTTTCCAAGCTTTGATAGACCCTTCCATGTGGTTGCAACCTTATCAATTGCTTATGGAGCGCCACATATGGAAAGTGCTTGCACAATATGTATTTACTTCTCCATCTCCATCTGTTTAAGGCTTGGAGAAAACAACCTGGATATGGAAGCAGTACAGGTCATTGCTGATGTGTTGAAGGAATCAGAGAATATTGTGTACCTCGGGTAAAGTGTTAGTTAGTTTTACCACATTTTTGGAACAATGTATGACAAAGAATCATCCAGATGATGTCACCCTTTCTGTTCCTCTTAGACTTGGGTGGACAAACATTAGTGACGACGAGCTTCTGGTCCTTGCTTGTGCAATAGGGGTTAAAAAAAAGCTTCAGGAGTTGTGGTAAGAAACTTTTTGAGTTGTTTTATTATCCTGGCACATGATGCTGATGTTTGAGGAAATGGGAGTTTTCCAGTGTCGAGGATGACTGTGACGGTTTGATTTAAGAGTTTTTAAAAGGTCATAGATTACACCTATGTTGTAATAAACTACGCTTATATTTAAAGGCTTTTTTTATGTAAATATGAAAAACCTTTATTGTTCCCCCTGTGATGGAACAGGATGGAAGGCAACCGAGTGAGTTACAGAGGTCTGCTGTCATTAAGCGACTTGATCCCAGATCCTCTGAAAAACGTTGTGTGAGTATTGAATTTTGAATCAAATAATTCAAAACAATACCTCACTAATTTGTATTTTCCTAGAGCTTATCCCCTTTCCCTCTTCCTATAGAGCGATATGGAACGACCTGACTGACAGAGAGCCAGAGTGCATGCAGACCAAGGCCAGCATCACTGTGAATTTCACAGACGATGCTTCGTGGGCAGAGTGGCAGAAATGGGTTTTTAAAAGGTGTGAGGTCAGCAGCAATGAGAAGTTGCTGATGGTACTTCACAAAGTGTGCAACATATCGACCCACCACTTCGAAGCCCAGTGGACGAAGACCTTCTACAGTCAACTTTCACAGCTCATCAAGAGCAGAATTGAGAGCTGTACCGAGGAGGACATGTGCAAGAAGCTGAAAAAGTTTGACAGCTTTTTGGAGCTATGATGAAAAACACTGCCCTTATGTTACAAGCTGTTAATAAATTGTTGGTTTGCATTGTGATTGTTTTTTTGAAGACAATAATAATAATAATATAATAACTGTAATAATCATAAAAATAATTTTTAAAAAGCAATATACCTCTCCCTCCCCTGCAAACAAGTCTCAAAATGGATAAAGGGAAATCATATCAGTTTCATCAATCACAGAAGTAATTTCTTTACTTCTGTTTTCACAGTAGACAATTATGACATCCAGAAGTATAGGGTCATAATGAATGGTAGTTTACACTTCATTACATTCCCCAGAGATTTTTGGTCCGTGTTGACATGATAGCATCACACGGTTGCTGCAGATTTGTTGGCTGTACATCCATGATGTACCCATTCTGCCAAAAGTGCTCTGTTGGATTGAGATCTGGTGACTGTGGGTGTCATTTGAGTACAGTAGACTCATTGTCATGTTCAAGAAACCAGTTTGACAAGATCTGAGATTTTTGACATGAGCCAGCTATGTGAGTGCACTGGAGTCATAATTACCAATGAGCCTCAGTGTGTATGTCAAGAAAATATTCCCTATGCCATTAAAACAGTTGCAAGAGCAGGCTAAGGTGCTTGGAAAGAAAAGCGTCTGGACTTCTTTAAGTTGCTTGGAGAAGTTTCACCTCTCATCCGAGAAGCTTCTTCAGTTCTAAGGTCAAATGGTGGAGAGTCTCACATTTAAGCCCTATGGGAGTGTGCCTCCAAAGAGGATCATTGAACCCCCAATGATCTCTTACCTAATCACACAAGCCAAGGAGTGAAAACGGGTGTAGGTCGCAATCAGCCAAGGAGGATGATTAGGGGGTCGATTCTCCCTCTTGGGGTCCAAACGCTTTTCTTTCCAAGCTCCTTGGACAACAATGACCTGGATGACTGAGGACCTTCACAGACAGTTGAAAAGTGGTTTTTGTGGTCCACATGGATAGGTGGAAAAAAAAGAAAATTAGTGACTGGCCCGTACGGGGATCGAACCCGCGACCTTGGCGTTATTAGCACCACGCTCTAACCAACTGAGCTAACCGGCCAAGTTGTAAAAGGCGACGAAAAAGTACGTATAAAAATGATAGTCACTATGTATTGAAAATTTGTTTTTAGTGATAGACGATTTACTTTCACCTTACGGACTTTGACAGAAATAAACAGGGCAGCATACAAAATAAAACTAAAAAAGTTTCGAAATTTGAAAATTTTGTGGTAGTGAAAATAAAAGAATAAACATGTTAATGTTGAAGAACAGATAGCATAACAAGCATTGCATCCATTATCAATATTATTCTATTTCTAAAAGCCTTTTTACAAATTATTTATTGACATTTTAACATGTGTATAAAGTGATTATTATTATCGTTATTATGCTATTATTTTACTATCAAATACAATGAGTGATTAGGTAGACTGTGCTGTGTTTTTATTATCTTACATTTAGATTCACTAGTTTGCAGAATAAAATGTGGATGTTACAACCTTCGTGTTTGTTGTTTTTTTTACGGTGGAATTATTCACCGGAAGTTGTGTAAGTTGCCGCTCGCTCTTATGACGAATTTACCGTGCGACGTTACTTTGCGAAGCAGCGCCGTTTGCGTGAAGATATCACGCTAGCTGCTGGTTTGTTATTTTTCTGAACTCGGTGTTAGTCTGGACCGTTTTCGCATCTGGAGCACGGTGAGTTATGTGAATCTTTCGGTCTCCTGAACGTTGAGAAAAAATCTGGCGGACTTTAAAAAATTTTGGCATGACGGAAGGTTTTTTTTAAAGTCACCACCCGCGAATTTCCAATTACTAACTTGGACGGCAGTGTTAGCTAACCACCAGTCTGGCAGCAAGGCATTCCCTGTGCACTTAGTAAAGAGCTAAATGCAAAACTAACAGTTTATATGTACGTTTCTTACCAATAATTTTATCAATAAAATGATGGCATTATAAAAGGGGCGTGTTCGATATGGAGTGTGCTATCTGAAAATGGGTCAGAGTGGGCAAAACGTGCAAACAAACCCCACAAATTTAATATAAATATTACTACGAAGCAGGATTTGGAGTTAGCAGCATAATTTATGTCAGTTTGGGGGCAAAAGGGTGGTTTTGATTATTGAAACACTCGTTTAAACTAGTTGGTACTCGCACATCACACCTATTAAGATCATATGGTTGATTATGTATCTCTATAGTTAAATTTAATGTTGTGGCGTTTTGTAACTTGCTGCTGTTATTCTTGTATTTTGCTCGTTTGTGTTGTTGTGTTTGCACATCTCTGTTGCTTGTGGGGCTCGCACACAAGAATTTCACTCGCATGTGCTGTGCCAGTGTGCCTGCACATGTGATGTGACAATAAAAAGTGATTTGTGAGACTCCAGACCTGTCTAAATTTTGGATTAAACCTTTCACAGCAGCATTGGCCCTGAACAGGCACAAGGTAGATCAGAAAAACCTGAATGGACTTTTCCAACTCCTAGCCTTCATCTTGGTATCTCTTAGCATGGCTGTTGTTTGATATATGTTGAACTTGCCTTTTAGTACAGGCTCTAATCTCATAACAACACAAGCGTCTTTGTTGCAGTCCTGCCCCCGAGATGATTAACTCAGAGAGGGGAGCTACCAATGCTGCGGCAGCAGAGCCCAGCGACAAGAAGGAGATGGAAAAGAAGAAGAGGTCCCGAGTCAAACAGCTGCTCAGTGAGGTGAAGAAGCAAGTGGAATTCTGGTTTGGCGACGTCAACCTGAGCAAGGACCGCTTTCTGAAAAAGCTCATGGAGGAATCTGACCGTGGATGTAAGAAGCTATCAATACTTTATACGTTTCACTGACTCTTTTTGACTTGGGAACAGCCTTAAACTTGTTACCACACATTATTTCTTATAGATGTTGATATATCTGTGTTGGCAAGCTTCAATCGAATGAAGCAGCTGACAACTGACACAAAGCTCATTGCCAGGGCGCTAAAGAATTCATCTGTAGTTGAGGTAAAGTAAATTTTCATTTTGTTAATGCTTTATAACTTGCTATTTTACAGTATTTGCATAATATAGAATCATTTAAAGGTGTGTGTGTGTGTGTGTGTGTGTGTGTGTGTGTGTGTGTGTGTGTGTGTGTGTGTGTGTGTGTTTCAGCTCAACCTCGAGGGAACTAAAGTAAGGCGTCAGCTTCCAATTGGGGAACTACCGAATGATGTGGACGGCCGCACAGTTTACGTGGTAAAAAAAAGAAAAAGTCCTCTGCTGTCTGTTTGATATGTTTGCTTTTCACGTGAATTTTAATACTTTCCATTGTTTTAATTATCACCAATTAAAGAGAGCAGAAACGATTCTATACATTACACCTGAACGCAACATTTCTCTATGATAATAATGTGATGTAACGTCTATAATGTGATAATGTGGTCGCCTTAGGCACACGGCTGTGACTACGCCCCACCTGCCTGTCATTCACATTTTCTATAACCCCGATTCCAAAAGAGTTGGGACGTTGTTTAAAATGTAAATAAAACCAGATTGACAGCAAAAGGTCTCATAAAAGTCAGGACAGGGTCATGTTTCCCAGAGGGTAGCATCCCCTCTTCTTTTAACGGTCTGTGAACATCTGGATACTGAGGAGACCAGCTGCAGTACTTTTGGTAGAGGGCTGAAGATCACAGGCATTCAAATAATGGTTTTCATCCTTTTCCTCTCACACACTGTCCCAACATTTTTGGAATCGGGGTTGTACCAAGTTGCAGCCAAGCAAAAGAAAGTCTTTAAAAAGAGAGGATAAGGTGCTTGGTGCATCCACTCTTTGTTTCAGTCAGGACCAAGTATTAGAACAGCATCATCTTCTCCCTGTTGTTCGCCTGCTCTAAAATCTTCTTGGATCCCAAACTAATGATTCTTTCTTCTTCTCTTTTTCTAAGGAACTTTTGCCAAAGGATGTGACACACAGCTGGATAGAAAGAGTGTTCACAAAATGTGGAAATGTGGTTTATGTCAGCATCCCCAGATACAAGTCCTCCGGGGACTCCAAGGGTTTTGCCTTTGTCGAGTTTGAGAAAGAGGAGCAAGCACAGAAAGCTATAGAGGTGAGAACTCAGTGGGAATATTTCCACAGCTAGGATGTCGTTGACGTTAACGTGGTGTTTGGTTTTGGCTGGAACAAAAGATCATGGAAGAATTTGATCTTTCAAACAGATGCTGAACAATCCTCCTGAAGATGCTCCCAGGAAACCAGGGATTTTCCCCAAGACGTTGCACAGGAAGCCAATTTCTCTCTCGGCTGACAATCCAGCATCTCGGATAGGTGATTTTATTTGGCACCGTTGCAATATTGAAGTAAAGGATAGCGCTGCAAAGTGTATTTATCCTGGCTTCTTTACATCCATGTGCTGCAGGTGAAGAAGAAGAGAAGAAGAAGCGAAAGAAGAAGAAAAGGAAAGAAGGTGCCACTGCACAGGCGCCCGCAGAGGAAGTCAAAGAGCAGGCGATGGAAGCGGAGGCGGCTGAGCAAAAGAAAGATTTTGACCCAGAGGCCACCAGCGCTCACAAGACACCAAGCAAACTGTCAGAGAAGAAAAGACGGCGGTCACATACGGCGGAGGGATCGGAGAGCGATGTACCATCGAAGATAAGAAAAACCAGCGAAAGTGAAGGTGGGGAGAGGGAGAAAGACGGAGCACGGAGTAGTAAGTCGTCTCTAATCCACCAGTGTAAAAAAAAGAAAACTACAAAAAGATCTAAATGGGACAGCTGTTTGTCATTTTACCTCCTCATTGTTCCTCATTTTTAAGGTCAAATTTAAGTCTTTTTACACCCAAACCACAAAGCTGGTTGTTGTGTTAACGCTGTCCTTCCCCTCATAGAGTCGCCCACTCACAGGGACGCACAGCAGGCCGTTGAGAAGGGCAAAGAAAACAGAGACGACTCAACAGTTAAAGCAAAAAGGAAGAGAAAAAAGAAGCACAAAGAGAAACTGAAAATTGGGGAAGAAGTGATTCCACTCCGGGTGCTTTCAAAGTACGAACCTGCATCCCTTGTTCTAACGAGTTAATACAATTGTAAAAGGTTTTATAACTAGCAAACTGAACCCACTCTGTCGGCCGTGTTTGTTCCTTCTTTTTCCACATCAAGGAAAGACTGGCTTGGATTAAAGCAGGAGTACCTGACCTTGCAGAAAAGCAGTATGTCAGCCCTGAAGAAGTGCATGACTAAAATAAATGACAAGGAGCACAAGATGATGGAGACAGATGGTGACCCTCGGGATGCAAATGGTGAGTTCTCTTCCAAACCTCACTCATAGGCCTCTAACTTTAAAATGTTTCCCCCATCCTCCTTTATAATTCCCACATATCTCTTTTTCTGTATCCACAGGTAAGTTGAGAAAGCACCACAATAATAATGAGAATCCCATAAACTTTCCAATGTTGCGTGTCTCATTAAACTTGGCATTAGCTGGGGTGGCATTTGCAGTAAGTGGGCAAGTGCTGAAATTTCCATGTGTTGAAAACAGAAGTGTATGATAAAACAGGAAACAACGATGCTGAACTGACAAAGATTTTGGCCTGGATTTTTGGGAAAGTGTTTTAAAATAATTTAAAGAAAATTTTCACTCGACATTCGTCAACATCGCACCAGAAATCACACAGCTTTACTCTGACAAGGACAGATTGCACTGTTCAGCTGCTCATTAACACAATTATCCAATCAGCCAATCACATGGCAGTAACTCAGTGCATGCATTCATGCAAACATGACCGTGCTGAAGTTCAAACTGAGCATCACGATAATGAGGAAGAAAGGTGATGTGAGTGAGTTTGAATGTGGCGTGGTTGTTGGTGTCATAGGGCGGGTCTTAGTTTTCAAGAAACGGTTCATCTGCTGGGAGTTTCCCACACAGCTATTTCGAGGGTTTACACAGGATGGTGTAAAGAAAGGAAAAGGAAAGGGAAAAAAATCCAGTGAACGGCGGGGATACTCAGGAGAGAGAGGCCAGACTTCAAGTTTGCTGGAAGTAGGGACGTTCCTGGTAACTAATTTCTTAGTCGACTAAACGAGGAAAAAAGAAATGAGACTAACAGTCTAGTTTAAAACAAAGAAACACTTAGCTATCAAGTGAAATTTTAGGACCTTCTAATGGATAATAGCAAAAAAGTGTCCAAACAAAGGCATTTGAAGCCTTTAATCACAACAGTGAATTCTATTATGGATACTGTGTTCTATTCTAACAGGATAATGAAAAAGAAAAAAAACCTGATTGTAAATGTATGAAAATGTGTTACTTACAAAATATATTCAAGTATTATTAAAATATGCCAAATTAACAGCTGAAAAATAACAAATTGTTCTGCAATTCATAACAATCATTTCAATAAAAGTTCAAATATAAAGCAATAACAAAATGATTTGATGACAACATCTCTATTAAGCAGAGAAGTCCAAACCTCCCTGTGCCCAGCCACCTCCTTCA